AAAATTCTACACAGCGTACATCATTCATGCTATACTTTGTTACTTTCAGGAAAAATTAAAGCTTTATTTATATTCTTTTTCTAAATCCCTATGATAGAATTATTTTGTTTATATCGATGCGCTTATGTAGAGAAAAAAATAAAATGTGTCGACAAAAAGAGCGCAAACTTAAATATATTACTACAAGAGATTGATATGAGTTAGATGTTTTAAAAGCTATCAAATATTCTTCCGTAAATAGCAATCCTCATTATTTTCTTCACGCATAATTTGTGTTTACTTCGATAAACTTTATTAAATCTTTGAGATTCATAGCATGATTAATTAATTGATCAATATATCGCATACTAGATTTTAATTACATATATATATATATGTATATATTTTTATATATATTTATATTTATATATACCTGTTATTATTATCTGCTATTTATATGCATCTAACTATCTACTTATTTTTCAAATAAACCACGAGACCACGAAATTACAGTAATAATGTAATGCATTTCTACCACTATAGTAAATAACGTTAATAAATGGTTACAAAAAAGACAAATATTAATTGTTTATAAGCCTGTCTTATATAATAACAATGTGTATGTGTGTAGATGCGCTCATGCGCTTGCGCGTACACACAGGTAGACATACTAAGCTAAGATAATGCTTACCATTAGTTGATATCAAATAGCATATGCAGTACATATTACTGATTCATGAATTGAGATTTGACTCTATCGTTTAATTGCACCAGATTAATTAATTGGCAGTGTATATATATATATATATGCCAATTGTAAATAAATGCAACGAACATCTACGATAAAAAGCAATATATATAAAAAAAAAAGATGTTTTCTATGGATGATGAAAATTTGCATAGAAAAATAATGTTCCGTTTATCGTGTGTGTCCGCTGATTTTAATCACCTAACTACAATCGGACCTTCAATTCCTCCATTCTTTGTTTTATTCTTTTTCGCATCTCTTTGTATCTGAAATAAATACAGATTTTGATTTAATTTATTATAATTTATCGATATCAATTTAATATAAAATTCGTTAAGAGTTACCAACTTTTCTTTTAAAAGTACAATTTGTCTTTCTTCCTCGTAATGATAACGTTGTAATATACCGTGACATTCTGCTAATGAAAGATTAAGGAACTGTGCAACGTCAGAACTAATTTCTGGTGTTGAAAGTTTATCAACCAAAAATAGTCGTGCTACATTTTCGTGTGGTCCCAATAAAACTCTTACTTCCAATGGATACTCGTCATCTCTCAACCTTCTTTGCTCTGTACGTATATTTAATAATTTAAGTAGGTAAAAAAAATATCAAACAATTTATATATATATATATATATAAACTTACCTCCATTATCGCGAACTACGAACAATGCAAAGTTATCTGACTTAGCATCGACTTTATATTTGTCGAGCATAAGATTAATAACTTCTTGAGTGTTTACCAAACTCGTAACCCAAACTGACATTTGAGAACCATGCGGTGGTGTGAAGAAACTAGTTTCGCGATTATAAAAATGCCCATTTATAGAACAACGACGTCTTAATCGACTACGAGATTGACGTCTACCACCTGGTCTACGTCTAATTGCTGTGGATCCTTGTTTACGTCTTAGAACAACGCCATCCAACTAAGAGGTAATAAATTTATATAAAATGTTTACAAGTAAGAGAATAAACAAAAGAAATGAAAAATATTAATACCTCTAAACCACTGTCAGTTGACATTGTCATGTTATCATCTTCTCTAAATTGTAAAGAGTTTACAGAATCTGTATCACTGTCAGTACGATGTCGTTGAAGACAATCTGGTCCAGACATTGAACGATTTAAACCTTTCTCTATCCAACTATCGTCAGTACTAATAGATCTATTACCAACAGCATTTTTCTCCAAATTATCAAAATATTCTACCCTACGAAGCGTACCATTCCGACTTGGTGTTCCATGATAAATAGGAGTATCGGTGCTTGAAGAACTACCAATGCTATGTGTCGGTGTACTATTTATACTACTATCGTTACCCCTATTAACATGATGGTTAGGACTACTGATTTCAGAATTATCACGAGAATCTGTTTTATCCAAACTTGATTCAGAAGAATGAACTGGTGTTTCAGTATTAGAACTTATAGATGGAAGATTTTCAGGCATTGTTGAATATAATTTATTACTTTCATCTACTTTACGTTCAACCTAAAATAATGAATATATTAAATAAACTTAATTTATATTATATTATATTATATATATATATATATATATATATATATATATATATGCAATTAAATATTTGTTTGAAACCTGAAGTAATTCGTCCAACTCATCCCATTCCATAGTCTTAACATTTAAATTCATAGGCAAAGTCAAACTTTTTAAATGATCAGGAGATTGTGGAACTGACTTTGTATTACTTTCTGTATCACATTCTGACGTACTCTTCGATGAGACATCAGTTTCATCTTCATTCTCCAAATCCTGCTTACATTAATTATTAAAATACAATTTGAAATATAATAAAAATTATATATCGTACCAAACTGATATTATTAACAAACCTCGTTAACACTATGTCTACAAGAATTTCTGTTACGCACAGTAACAACAGTACGCTGATCATCGTCTTCTTTAAGATGAATAACACCTCTGACTCCCCAATATATTCTCAAGGCACCTTCAAATACCAATCTTCCATTGACCTATTTTTAAACAAATTAATACATATATACTAATGAACATCAAATTTTGTTGTACTTTCAAATAATTTGACAAACTTACTTCACGACTTTTGAGTCCTTTACTTTTACCTTCGTAATACTGATTAAAATATTTCAACTTTGATTCGAAATGCGATCTACACATTAATACATTTATTTATACATACATTTGATTTTAGTACAATTTTTTACGCTTATAGAATAACTGTAAAAAAAAGAAAGAAAAAAAAAGTATCTAATACATAAATAATTACCTTGGTAACGATGGACGAACTTCTTTCTTTCCAAAACTTGTATGAGATTCAACTCTTGTACCATGACCAAATAATTGAGGCCCGAAAAGAGCACCATAACATGGAACATGGCAGTACGGTACTCCTTTGTGCTAAAATATCACAAATATCAATATAGATTATTCATATTAGATAGTTCATTAACTTTTAAAAAAATCTTAATCTTTTACCTCAGCATGTTGCCCAGGATTTAAACGTTTTCCACACTCTTCACATCTTAGACACTCAGGATGCCAATCGTATCCTAAAGATTGCTTACGTTCCGCTGCATGTAATGAAGTCAACAAATAAAAGTTTGGATAAGAATATTTCTTTTATAAATTTTTCTACATATATACATATTTTTTTAATAATAAATTAACATAACGATGATTAGATTTTAGACAGTAAGACGTATAATAAGACATGGTAAATTTTTTTCATTGTAGAATAAATTAATGTTATGTATTGTATGTTTTTTTTTTTTGGTTTTTAAATAACCTACTTCGCATAAATTTATATTTAAATAATGTTGATGTAGATATAGCGGCAATTATCAAACTCAGATTAGTGTATAAGAAAGATAAAATAAAAGATCTTACCAAAATAAACAGGTTTACCGCATTTATGGCACTTCCACATGACGACTAATTAACATTTATTATTGAGAATAAGTAAGGGGATGATAATATCAACGTTAAATCATTTTGTTTATGTTATTAATGTTTCATTGTATTGAATATGACATTCTAATTAATTAATTCTATCACTAATAAGGTAATCTACAGAGAAATAATGAATGACAATTTCCAATTGCGTTCTTAAACTTACTAGAACTTTTCCCCTAAATTAAGTTTCACTTTCATAGAATTATATCATCTATTAATTTTATTTTTTGAAGAAGACAAAATAGTGCGCGATATATTTAATACAAAAAAAGAGCAACAATTTAAAAATATATTTAATAATTAAAGTCAACAATATTATTTCTAATACGAATACCAATAATCATAGGGATTTTATTTGGTGAACAAATTTGACTAATGAACGAATATCTTTCTCGATGGATCTTGAACGTGATTGGTTACATGACTGGACATCTAATATTTAATTGAAATATCACAAATACCATATCAGTTTGATATAAAAATGAACTTTTTTATGAATAGTAATAAAAATCTCCCTTATTTAACCTCTTAGGCACGACGTGCCATTATAGTGGCTTTTGCAGATGTCATCTTTCTGAACGACACTCTATTATCTCACTAGCTCACCATTTGTGTACAGTCAAGCCAGATCGTAGAACATTTCTACCCCTTCTCTCGAGCCCAGCACGCCTCGCACACAACGAAATGTTACGTGTCGATGTGTCGGGAAATCGAAAGAAGCCGAGGAAAGCCGAGGTTAGCTGCGCGACAGAGGAGAAATAATACCCCCACCACGCGCCGCGGTAATACACATTGTTCAAATGTGTATTATGTCCATGTATTTCTCCATGTAAAACAATATGTATTACCGCGGCGCGTGGTGGGGGTATTATTTCTCCTCTGTCGCGCAGCTAACCTCGGCTTTCCTCGGCTTCTTTCGGTTTCCTGACACATCGACACGTAACATTTCGTTGTGTGCGAGGCGTGCTGAGCTCGAGAGAAGGGGTAGAAATGTTCTACGATCTGGCTTCACTGTTTGTGTATCAACTGTATTATTGATTATTAAAGTAAACTGCCAAAGTTAAAGTATGTGTATCATGTTTTTAAAAAAATTATAATCTAATCATTAAAAACTTCATTCTAATCTACTCGCGTAAAGAAAAGCATTGTTCGTCACGTATTGTTGTTGTACTGTTTACACACAGTTCTCGTTAAACTCTGCTGTACAGAGAAATAGTATCGCGCGAAATTCAACCGTGCCTAAAAGATTAAAAACAAATATCATATTTTTTATACAACTAAAATTAATTTATCATCAAAATTTGAAACAATATTTGTGATCATTTTTAATAAAGATATTTAATAAACCATCTCTTCCATCACAAAGTACATACGCATAATATACACAGTTCACAATAATAAAAAAGGGACGAAAAATATATATCTACATAGTGTACAGTACTTCTAAATTCATAGATTATTCTTTTTAATAGCTTGTTGCATAAGTTCCAATTCCTTTTCTTCAATCTTTTGATTATGTAATTTTATACTTTCTTCTATTAGTCTGCGATGTTCTTTATTCTCTTTAGGATAATATTCTTCCCTTACCTTATTAACCCAATGCTCATAATTTCCTGGTTGATTAAAATAATGAAACATTGTTACAGGAAAGGCCATATATAATGACATTTTAAAAATTTCTAATTGCCAAGTACCCATATTTTATAATTCTGTAAAATAAACAATTTTCAAATATAAACATGCAATCCATCAATAAACATAAAAGGATTAATATTAATATCAATTGGGAAAAATGTAGTTTATAGAATAAATTGAGTGTTGCTTTTTTCAATTTGAAGCATGTTAAATTATATTGAATGGACTTGAACTCTTTCAAATTTTATAACAAATCTTGTTGTTAATTTTGAAAGTAACCTAACTCCGTTCTTTGTAAGAAAACGTATATTATTCACTTAATAATTGCCATTTTAATTTAATAGGAACCATAAATTTAACTCTTTTAAATATACTTAAGCAGTATGACTAATTAGTATCCTGTAAATAAATATAATTTGAATTGCATTGAAACTCCAATCTTTCAATATCTCGATTCGAGCATAAATGGAGTTAGAAAACTTTTCAAAGAAACGATTCATATATGTGTGCATGTAACAAAAGTATACAAAACTATTCTAATTACGTACTGTGGCAATATCAATTACAAATTATAAATTTATATAATTTACAGAATAATATTACTTTAATGATGTATTTCGGCAAAGGACAACGACAACAGAAATTTTTCCTAGAATTTGACAAGCTCTGTAGCTAACTTCAATTCAATTGAACATTTCGAACAGTGGTTCTTCAACGATTTCGATAGGTTATGATATCGATAAAGAACTTATACGATGTTTATTTATTATACAATCGTTTTTGTCAACGATGATCAATTATTTGTAACTAAAAATTTAAAATAATGATCTAAATGATTGATCGATCGTAATTTGTATTTAATCGAACATCAATTAAATAAGATACGCAGATAACATTTGTCGGCTTTTATTTGTATTTGTTTAATAACCAAAATGTAAAGCTTTGTGTTTATAGATTCAATTTAGATCAAATAAAAGCTTCGTTAAAAAAATATTATTTGAATTTAAATTTTGTTAAATAAATAGACGCTCATTTGCTGAACTTGCAGTTTATGGTTATAAAAATAAAACTAGAGAAAAAAAAGAAAGAAGAAGAAAACCGTTTACCTCTCTTTCAAATAAGAATACACAAGACGCCGTAGATGCATACGATGCAATTTGTTGTTTAGTGAATTCAAAGTTGTTTCTTCAAGATATGTTTTAATTATTTAATTGTACTCGGTTAATTGATAAATATCTTATATTTATTATCATGGAAGCTTTGTTACCTTCGGAAATAGCTCGATTAGTGTTTGGTAAATAATACTTGTGCATTATTATAATGAACATTCTTGTTAACCTTACTTTTAACATTTTTGTTTGTTGAAAATAAATATAATTAATACTATTAATAGTATCGTTGCTAATATTATTACTTCTTTTGTTTATCTTTGTTAAAATAAAATGCATATTGTTTAAGAATATAAAGTATAAAGACAAATAATGATAAGCATCAATAGTAGTATAATTTTTGATAATAATAATTTATATGTGAAGATATATATTATAGTTCATTTCTTTTTGTTATTTTAATCATTTAATATAAAAAATATATGACATTAAAATTGACTTATATTTTTATTATATCTCGTATAATCAGGATATTTGGAAGAAAATGAGTGCAATGAGGCTGCAAGAGTATTCTTAGAAACATCTCCACATCTTCAAGAATGTCGGAATGTATTATCAAAAGGAAGGCGTTTTAATACTCGTATAAATGGATTATCATTAATAGATATTTTCGAAAAATATTCAGCAATGAGCATTATGAGTATGTTGAAATAATTATTTATATTTATACATGTGAATTAGATATCCTAAGAATTGAATTTACCAATAGTTTCATTATTATGATTATATTTTTAGTAGAGGAACGTTTGAACAAAATCACAGATAACGAACACGTAAAACAATGCGGTAATTTGTTGGAAAAATTAAAATTTTTGATAGAAGAAACACAAGCAGGAAAACGCTTTGTTGTAAATATCAATATGCCTACGCAGGTAAACAATCTTTTTGATTTAAAGTAATATAGTTTTTTAATAACAAAAATAAATAATACATTGAATTAATAATGATTATACTCTAAGACTTGAATAAATAAAAGAGAAAATAAAAAAATGAAATGTTATTAAATTCTAGTCAAGCCAGCAATCATTAGGTGGATCTCCGATATTGTCAGGTAGTAGAAAAAAAAAGCATCATAACGACAAAGAGCGACAGTTAAAAGTTAACTCTGATAAAGACTCTTCGCCAAGTCAAATACTCCTAGAATCAGACTTGCCATTCAATTATGGTAATTTTATATAATGAATATATCTATTAGCAAAATTATCAGGATATTTTAATTGCATATTTAGTAATAAACATTTCATTTATAACAATATAACGATAGAGCAATGGTAAATCTAAGAATTAAATATATATCTATATTAGAACAATTATTTCAATATTTTAATTGCATATTTGACAATAAATATTTCTTTTGTATAATGATATGACAACAGCATTGGATTGTGAAGCAACAGCTCTTGAAAGTTTACCTGGACATATGGAAAAATGTAACGATGTACAAAATGACATTAATAGTGCGACAAGGCAATTAAATCAATGTAGTTCTAGGAAAAGTAGTTTTGCGGAAAGCTATCATACAGCGGATAGCAGAGAGAAAGTTGCAACAGTGCATACAGGTAAATATATCATTATAAAAGTTTATTTATTTATTAACGATGTTTTTTTAAAATAATTATATATATATGTATATATATGTATATATACACACACATATATATATATATATATATAAATATATATTTTAGGCGATAATATTGATATTAAAAATTTTAATTCAAACGTGATTAATGACGATAAATGTAGAAAAAATGACAACGCAAAAAATACTGATCTGAGTGAAAAATGTACTACGGGAACAAATACGGAAGAATTGTTATCTTTCTCTAATACGGAAGTACAAACTACTCCTTGCGAATTAATTGATTATGAATCGGAAATTAACGACGAGCCTGTTCAAAATCTTAGCGTAAGTATAATTCTTTTACATTGTATTAAATTTGTATATTTGAAAAATAATTTTTTTATTTTTTCTCTCTTTCCCCAGTTGTTGACAAAGGAACTATTAAACCGAACAGAATTACAAGAACGTATTGCTGAAAATATAAATAAAGCAATTCTTCCAACTGATATATCTATGAGGGATGTTAAAGATATTTTTAATGAATCTATTGGCTGTGAATTGAATACCTCGGTCGTAACAGAATTAAATAACGCTATTAAATCAATAGTGGAGGCAACAGAAGCTGATCCAGTATTTGAACAATTTCTCGATGAAATTATTGGAAAAAACATAGAAACGGATACAAGTCCTGATGAAGACATCGACGTTAAATCGACTCCTACTGAAAGGTAAATATTCTATTTTCTTCTTAATTTATAATATGAATTATAATATAATATAATTTCAATTAACAGAACAGAAGAAAAACGATTCGAAATTGATAATGTTATTACTTTACCGGAACGTACAGTTGTTGAAGTTAAATCGTCCAATAAAATAAGTTCAACGGAAGTACCTTTAAAACAAAGACTCCGTAGTTCTTCTAGACAACAAACAGCTAGAATGGAAGATGAGATTTATAAACAAAAGGAACAAAATGTTCTAGAAGATCAGAATGCTGCTGCTATTTTAAGTATCATAAATGCTAAAATAACAAACATTAAACCAGAAAATGATAAAACGACTAATAATACAAATGATAACAAAGAATCAGAAAAAAAATCTCAAACATCTATACCTAGTACAAGTAATACTACTGATTTGTCCGAAAAATGTTCTGGGCCGACAGAAAATCAAAAAGTTGATACTACGAATAAAGAAACGGAACCTAAAACGAAGAAATCAGTGGTCAAGCGACCACGACTTTCAAGAGTAAAACGAGAAGCTGAAAGTAATACTAACAATTCGGAACAAGATATTATGACTATGCCAACACTGATATTATGTTCGAAAGAAGAAATATCTAATATTAAAACTATAAATCCATCTTACTCAATTGGAAATGTTAATCCTATCGCATCTAATACAACTTCGCATTTTATTCCAATTCTGCCTAAAAATTGTAACAAAACTAAAGAGTCGTTAGAGACATTATATGTTAGAGCTGTCAATGTACCACAGAAATATGTATTGCCAACGACAATGCCAAAAATACAAGAAGATATGATCAACTATTCAAATAGTAAGGTACAATTACCGGCAGTAGAAAATATTACTGATAGTAAAGCAAGTACTACAGAAAACGTTGACAAATCTGTACAACAAAATACATGTAATCTTACTTTTCTAGATCCAATAGAAACAAATAAATTAGTGAGTATGGAATCGATAACACTTTATAGTACAGAAAATAGTATAAAAACATCTTTAAATAATGCAGCAATGCCTATAATTAACTTAGAAGAAAATATAACTTTATCAGGAATAGAACTATCTCCTTTTTTGAAGTTTAATTCTAATAAGTCTAATCAAAGTCACAATTTGTCAGATATCGATCAGATATTGCTTATGGAAAATTTTAAAACGGTAACGCAGTCTACGACAAACGAAAATAATGAACAGAATATAATGACATCTAAAAGAACAGAAAATGATGTTATTACTAAGCAAACACCAAGATCCTTATTAAAACATAGAACAAAATCACATAGACTTAGTTTATCTACTCCTCGAAGAAGAAGTCATATAAGAGCACTTGATTTTAGTACTCCGACTAAGTTAATACATTCTGCTTCTAAATCTCAAGATAATGATAACACCACATGTACTCCAAAATTATTAAGATCCATGAAATCAGTTCGTAGAACTTCTCTCTTTAAATCTCCACATTTAGGTAATTCATCTATAACAGTACCAACGATTCAAAATACATTAAATAATGCAAAATCTATTGAAATACCTATAGCAACTAGAAGTCCTGTTCCAAAACTTATGGGAGATTGGGAAAAATGTAATGGCGTAGGAGTAATCATAGATGATGTTTCTCCATGTAAAAGCAATGATGATACAACTTCTTCTATACCAATAAATAATTCGGAAGAAGCTACTAAGGTTGCAACTAAATGTTGGGATGCAGATTTACGCCGGGGTTTACAAGCAAATGATGAAAAATTAATTAAATCAACAATAAGTAAGAAAGAAAAGAAAGTTATTGAAGATAAAAATAATATCACATGTAAAACTTCTAAACGTAATATCATGCGTAAAACTTCTAAAATTTCTAAATCTGCTGTTGATGTAAATAAAAAACAACATGCCAAAGAAAAAAAAGAAGAATCAATGGCAAGCATGAAAGATGCTAAAAAAAACAAATCAGATGAAACATTAGAAACAAACAAAGTGTCATCTTCTCAAAATACTGCTTTTTCAAATTTGTTGAATAGTACAAACAAAGAAACAAGTGATACTTGTATTTTAGAAAAGGCAAATATAAATACGGATACATGTACAACTAAATCCACCTGTCCTGTACCTCCTGTAATAGATAACAAAACTATAAGAAATACGAACAATAAAGAAACGACTGAGAAAAAAGTGAAGAAGTATGTACAATTAAAAACATTAAAAACAAATTTAAAAAAGTCGAGAAAAGAGACAAATGTTATAAATGATACATCATCTACTGCAGAAATTATTTCAGTAATTGAACCTTTGAAAGTTACCGTGGAATGCGCTAGAAAAATTTTACCCATAACTGATATAATAGATTTGGAAACTCCAAAAAAATTTGAAAATTCTTCTGGAATACCATCAACGCCTCGTTTAATTAGTCCTAATAGCAATCTTATTTCGTCATATCCTAAAATTCACGATGATTCGATCAAAATTCGTAGTTTAATAAAGACACCAGAGTTTCCACCCACTCCTTGTATCACATTGACTCCCAAACATTGCGAAGAAAATACTCACGATGTTATCAAAAAAGGAATATACAACGGATGTATATCATCTTATTACAAACCAACTACAGAACATATAAATTCCTGTGATTCTGAAAAAATGATTAAAGTTGATATGAAATTTGATAGTAGTGGAACGACGAAACATTTAGTTACACCAGTTACTAATCCCAAGATGTGCTCTGTTCAATGCACAAATACAGACAGTGGTTACAGTAATAATACGTCTATTTCAACCAAACTTGAAATAACGCAATTTGAAGTAATCAAAGAAAATTTGCCAAAGAATGAAGCTGTCAAAGAACTTAAAATATCTTCTAACACTAAAGATACTACAACTGCTATTTTAAACCCAACTTCTGTGCACAATGATGGAAATGTTAATAATGTTATACGGAATGATAAAAAATCTTCTAATATTCATGAAGAGTCAATTGATAATATTTATACATCTTCGTCTTCTTCTTCTTCATCGTCATCATCGTCGTCTTCTTCTTCCTCTTCTTCTGTTAATACTATTACTACTAATGATACTTCTAAACCAACGTCGTGTAACAAAAAGTATAAAAAATCTTCTAATGTAATATACACAGATACGAGTAACGATTCTTTATCAAAAATAGATTTACCTACTAACAATTCTATGCAAGATGTATCTATAAACTTGAAGAATGATTTGACCAAAGAAAAAGTCATATTAAGTGTATCGAATATGCCAACTAATTTTATTGAAATTGAAAAAGAATCTATGAATAATATTAGAATCAGATCTGAATCTTCTCCAGCTAAGCTAATATTGATAAATAAAAGCGAAGAGCAATATGAATCTATTTTAAAAGATACTCCTGCCAAGGATGAAAATCTGTTAGCGGAAGAAGATATATCTGTCACGCCTAGCAGTACCAAAGCTGGCATAAGCAATGTAACAAATTTATCATCCAAAATTGCATTTATTACCTCAGAAAATGAAAAATTAGTAAAAACAAATACATCGATACCAGAAACTTCGAATACGAATAAAATCGGACAACATGCAAAAATAATCGATATACAAAATGTATCGTTTGACAATTCAAAATTTATACCATTAACAGAATTTCGCGATCATCAACTCACTGAATACCATATGATACATACAGATGAACGCGCAAGACAATTGGAACAAAAGCGTAAACGTATGATACTAAAGCTTCAGCAAATTCCTAAATCTAATACAATTTTTGCGAAAAATAAATCTAAATCAAATATATTATCGATAAAGAAAAAACTTAATGCTGCAAATAAAAATAATAAACTAAAGATAAAGAGTGAAGGGAAAAAGATAAAGATGGATGGAAAACAATGTGAACAGAATTTGAATAAGAATACCAATAATAGAGAAAATACTGATAATCAAGTTTCCGGAAGTAATAATGTTACCAATATTCAAGAAATAAAAAAAGAAGAAAATGATAAAAAAGTGTCTACTACATTAAATAAATATAATAAGGATATTCAAAATAATAAAAAAAATGTTTTAATGGAAACAAATTCTACAGTTAATACGTTAACATCAGTGCAAGGAAAACAAGATGAAACAAAAAGTAATGAAGGAGAATATAGTGCTGCTTGTAATAAATCTGAAAATGATGTCGTTGAAAACGATCGGAATTATGATAAAAAAATAAATGAACAAGAATCGTCAAAAGAACATCTGTCTAATATTAACAAAGATAGAAAAATTGTACAAGATACTGATATAAAAGATAAGTGTAATAGGAAAGATAACGAAACAAGTTTAAAAAAGCATGTTGAAAAGGTAAACGATATATTAAAGGCTAAAGTAAATCAAGTAAAACGAGATTTATTTAGTGACGATGAAAATGACAAAAAATGTAAAATATCGGAAAGTAAAAAATTGTCAAAAGATTCAGAAGTTCAAAAGAAAGATAATAAACAGATTTCGAATGATAACGAAGAGAAGAAAAGTGAAAAAACTATTCAATCGCAAGATCCAAAGGAGGAATTACCTTGTGTTCTTGAATGTTTACAATTAGTACCAGCAAGCAAAAATGATAATAGTAAAGAAAAAAATGACAACAATCAATCCGAGGAAGAAGTTAATTTAAATACAACTGGACCTGGTTCTGTAGTATATCACTTTATTTACGACGACAGTGTATCAACTAAAAAAAGAAGAAGAAGATATGGTAGCAGCGACTTGAAGCAACATGTAAAAGTTCAATTGAGTAATGATAATTATAAAGAAATAGTCACACAAACTTTGACAGCTACTGATTATCAAGAAATATATAATATGAATCCAATATCTAAGAAAAAATCTATCAACAAAAAGCTTAGTGTTAAAAATAATGAATCGAGTAATATTCATCTTAAAAACAGTAACTTTATCTTAAAGAATGATTCCACGAAACCATTGGCCACGTCTTCACCTGTAGACAAGCCTTTAGTATCTAAATTCAAGAAAACAACAGATAAAATGAAATCGGTAAATGATAAAGATAATTTATCAGTAAAAATAAAAGTACAATCTGAAAAAGATAAAGGTAATTACAATTTTTTACATTCTTTATAAATAACATTTAATAGAATTGTGGTATGAATTTATTTATTTTTTTGCTTTTTATATGAATTAAGTAATTAAATTTAATTTCAGACAATTTAATCATAAAAAATCATAAAAGGAAATTATCGGAAACTAACGAAGACCCAAAGGTTAGTAATGGCTATTTATTATTTTATATATCTGTTTATATTGAAATTATCTAAAAACAGTAATTTTGTTTTCCTATAGAGTGAGAAGAAACGTTTATATGATCCACGAGTATTACTAAATAATATGGATATAGATGAATTTTTGACATCTGTTCATGGACCTACATGAATATTAAATATGCTCTCTTGTTATATTCAATGGTATTTTTAATAGAGAAGTATATATATATATATATATATATATATCATCATTATTGAATATGTTGAATATATATAAATATATATAAATATATATTTGATGATAAATATGATAAGTATATATTAATGATAATATATATTTATATATATTACAATGATAATATATATATAAATATATATTATGATAATGATATATATATCATTTATATTTTCTAGTTTATATTATATAAGTATTATTATTAACTTATGTAAAATATTATTTACTGTTAATTATTTCATTATTCCTTTGACTAAGGTGCATACCGATAAATTATCGGAATCGTCTACATATATAGATAAAAAACTACTGATTTTATTTGTAAATAATACAGAGTTATTAGTTTTTAAGTAATTTTACATATAATATGACCTTATTTGTATTATTTTGTAAAGAATTAAATATTTAAAAGATTGCATATAGAAAGAAATTTATAGATGCACAGACGCGCGCTTATATGTATGATACAATATGTTAATACATTATAATACATTGCTAATATAATAATTATTTTTGCTACAAAAATTAATGATATAAATAAAATCTGATATGCAATATAGAAACAAAATGAAATTAATAATTATTTTGTGATTGATAAGTTTTCATCTTTATATATATACTTACGCTATTTATAACGCTAAATTAAGTCTGTGTAATATCACGCATGCGCACAAAGTGAAGAAACGTTTATCAAGAAAAAGCGCTTTTTTCAAACGATAGTTGAAATTAAAAAAGAATCAAGGATGATAGGATCTTAGAATAAAACTTATCTTATCTTTCGTTCGTTCGTTCATTGGAAAAGATTAAAATCGGATAATTGCACTTAGAATTTAAATTATATTTCTAGTTTTATATCGCGCTGAACGCGAAAAAAGAAAAAAAAAGGATAAATGAAAACTGTAAGTCAAAGTCTTCGACGTTAACAATGAATCATAAATTTGATTTATTATCTTTATTATTATTATTATTATTATTATTATTATTATTATTATTATTATTATTATTATTATTATTATTATTATTATTATTATTATTAGATAGACACACCTGTAGCTCGAACAGTCTTATTGATCGTCGGATAAACGTTAAAAGACGCGCGCTTTTAAATCAGTGACATTCAGTTGTAAGTCATTATTGTTAATATTCCACAAAGTGATTAACAATTAGATTGATTAGAAAAATGTCCTCCAAAGAAAATATCAATGAAAAAGAATTAACGATAGATATTCCCGATTCGTTTGGTGATCCAAGGTACCGTCGATTATTTTTATATTTTTTATTTAAAGCCATGACTTCTCAATAGATGACTTTCGTAAATTGTACTATTTTATACTGAAATGAAATGAATTTAATTAAAATGTAAGAAAATATTCTATGTTATCTTTGCAGATCAGCTCAAGATAACAAAATTCAACCTACTACTTCATCTCCAATAAAATCACCTACACAAAAATTTGCTGTGCATTACAATATGGACAAACCTGGCCTAGCAATTATATTTAATCATGAAACTTTCTGCTGCGAAGATCTTCTACCACGAACAGGAACTGATAGAGATAGCAAAAATCTAAAGAGGACATTACAATCATTAGGATTCATAGTTCAAGAACATAAAGATTGTACTTCCACTCAAATAAAACTTACATTACAAGCAGGTATTAAAAGAAAGACTAAAACAAAAATGAAATTTAAAATAATATAAGGACATGTGTAATAATTTTTAATCGATAAAAATGTATATATTTTTATTATAGTTGCTAAACAAAATCACACTGATCACAGTTGCTTAATAGTTTGCATATTGACCTATGGAGATTTAGGAATACTTTATGCAAAAGATGAATGTTACAAAGCAAATTCTATTTGGTCATATTTTACACCAGGCAAAACTGATAATAATGAAGAGAAAACCCGTACTCTTACCGGTAAGCCCAAATTATTTTTTATACAAGCCTGTCAAAAAAGGAAGATAGTCAGGTCAACTACGCAATCCTTGCCACAAATGCAAACACTCACACTACCTGATAAAAGTAAAAAGGTATATAAAGAAGTATTCCGTTTACCAAATCATGCTGACTTTTTGATCGCTTATTCAACAATATCAGGTAAGCTATAATTCTAATCATATGTTTTAAACATTCCAAAAAATTAAAATGCTCTTTCCTTTATTTAATTATATTTTTATGTATTTATTTATTTATTAATTTAAAATAATTTCTAAATAGGTCATTATTCGTGGTCAAAATCGGAAAATGGATCATGGTTTATAGAAAAATTGTGCACAATATTAAACAAATTTGGAACAAAATATGATTTGTTAACTCTACTTACTTCAGTCTGTCGTTGTGTTCAAGAAGAATATGAAATTAATGCTAATGATAGAATTAAAATGATTCAAAAAAAAGAAGTTCCATACATTACTTCAATGTTAACTCGTCTAGTGAAATTCCAAGCTATAAACAGTAATGTTGAAAATTAAATGTTATAAAATTTTTATTATACATATATATTTTATTTTATCATAACACGTGCATTTATTAAATAAATTATTAGTTTAGATAAATAATTCACGATTTGATCATATATAATGTTCGTTAATTTCTTAAAGTACTTATATTACATATAGTCCAGTCATCTTAATCAAAATTAGGTAAGTATCTCGGAATTTGAGATACCCAACTATAAACTCGTATAAACTTGTATTTTGACATCCTAAAATTTGTCTCAAAACCTACCTATGGTAGGGTGTACGCGACTATTAAAATCTAAGGTCAAAAGTCACAACAATCGATTTTTTGCACATTTTTTGCAAATATCTCGTTTCCTATGGGTTTTTCGCTATTTGTATTTATTATCAATATTGTAGAGGATTAAATTCCCTACAACTTTTGTTTCAACAATTTTTTTATACGTTGAATCATTTTCGAGATAGAGTGCGGAGAGCGCGCGGTTAGAAGATCATTTAAGGTCAAGAAGAAAGCAAATGCTACTTACAATCGCGCCCTTTTTTCTAATTGAAGCGCTGCAGTTGTACTTTCTCGTTATACATATAGGGGGAGACAAAAAAAGAAATCTGCGCATCCTTTACGGACAGTAGATGCTCGGCATTTTCCTTTGCTTGACGCTTAAAGTGAAAAACAATTTAATTTATAATAAAACAACTTCATAATTTTATTAAAATATACTTTTGAAAAGTATTGATAAAAAATAGAAGACAGTACTACTGATTCGCTTGAAGATTTAAGGTATTATTAATAGTTTTATTATTTGTTTATGGATATTTATTCAATCTTTTACTTCTGGTAAAATTTTGAAGAAGACAAGAAAAAGAACATTTTTACAACATAACGTTATTTTCGTGTGTTAAATGTATTGCAATAGAAAATTGACCAATCGAGTTTAATATTTACTTCAAATTTTAAATAAATTCATTTAAGATAATAATAGTGAATATAAACAAATAATGTCCTGTGTGATTAGGTTAGATTAAATTAAATTTAGTTAGGTTAGGTTAGGTTAAGTTAGAACGGTGTATAAAATACTGATCGGTGTACCTAATGGGAAAAGATCACTGGGTAGACCAAGACGTAAATAAACAATATTAGTTAATGAACTTTCGAGTTCCTAACGTCAGTTAATAATAATAATAATAATAATAATAATAATAATAATAATAATAATAATAATAATAATAATAATAGGTTAAGTTAAGTTAAGCTACATGTGTTTGATTTTTTTCAGTACAGATATGCTATTGGCATATGGGTTTGATTTAGAAAATATTTCTATCTGATTTATAAGAGGTATAAAATTGTGAAAGAAAATATGGCTACAAAATTAATTAAAAAGGATGCTTTACAAGCTGTTGTTTTTACTGATGACTTTACAACAGCTTTGACTCCAGTGCAGGATGTATTTCCAACCATGTTATTACCAGTCTTGAACGTACCTTTGTTGGACTATCTTATAGAAACTTTAAAAATATCCAGAATAGAAGAAATATTTTTGTATTGTAGCAGTCATATTGACTTGTTAAAGAAATATGTTAAAGAAAAAGAATACGAAGATATTATCATCAATTTAATTATTTCTGATGGATGTAGATCTTTAGGTGATGCTCTCAGAGACATTGACACCAAGTGCTTGATACGCGGTCATTTTATATTGATTAGAGGAGATGCATTTTTAAACTATGATTTACGAAATTACTTAAATGTCCATTGTAAAAAAGAAAACATGGATAAGGGTGCAGCAATGACGATGCTACTTAGAAATGTTGGTAGTACCAACGATTCATTTTTAAGAGAAGAAACTGCTCTGGTAGTATCCAACAAAGCCAATAATAAGATATTTTTTTATAAGAAACTAAAAAACGACGAGAAGAAGGTTAAATTAGAATTGAATTGGTTCTTGGATAATAGCGAAGTTGATATTAGCACGTGTTTCATAGATACACATGTATATTTATGTTCACCCGCCGTACTTGTCCTATTTTCTGATAATTTTGACTTTCAGGTAAGTAAACAGTGTTCAATATTTATACACATACATGTACATGTGGAAATATTTAATTATTATATTTTATTATCTCTTTCTTTCTTTCTTTTTTTTTATATCATACAGACAATGGAAGATTTTATTAAAGGTGTTTTAATGAACGAAGAAATACTAGGCGAACGAATTCATTACCAACAATTGAGATCCGACAATTACAGTTTACCAATTACATCATGGAAAGCATACTATACTCTAAGTCGTGATATTTTGCAGAGACGTGGCTACCCGCATGCACCAGGAATGTTTGGTCCATTAAAAAACTTTGTTTCTATATCTCGAAGCAGCTATAAGCACAAAAGTGTTACTTTGGCTAAGGGCTGCACGTTAGAAAAAGATTGTTTAATTGGAGAAAACAGTACACTCGGACAAAAAAGCTTTATTACTAAATCTGTAATAGGCAATAATTGTTCGATAGATGGAGAGGCGACTATAAAAAATTCTTTTATTTTCTCCAACGTCAAAATAGGAAGTGGTTGTGAAATAACGGATAGTATTATTTTTTCTGACTGTGACATTAAGCAAAATACTAAATTGGACGGATGTATATTAAATACGGAAACGATCGTTAATCCGCAAAAACAATATATTGATTCCATTCTAGAAATGAAAAATAATAACTTAACAAATACAAAAATGGAGGATCAAGATCTTGATGAAAGTTTGTTGTTTTTTAAAGATAATGAAGCTATAGAATATGATAGCGATTCAACGGATGAATCAAGTACGAATGAAAACTCGCGACAATGTTCTCCGGTTCTCGATGACACAAGTTTATTCCTATCAGAAGTTATTGATAGTTTATTAAGAGGTTTTCAAGATAAATTGAATTGTGACAATTTAATATTAGAAATAAATTCATCAAGATACGCATACAACGTTACTATGCGGGAAGTTACATATAACGTCATAAAAGCAATATTGGTTTTGCCATCACACTATTTGGCTGAGACTAAAGTTCCAATTAATAATCAGAATTATTATAACAATTTAAAAGTTATGATTAATTATTTTAAACCTATTATTTTGAATTACGTTAAAACTGAGCTGGCACAAGAAGATTGTTTACATGCTATAGAAGAAGTTGCTAGCATGACCCAAGAATTGTTACCATATTTAAAAAATGTATTGCATTTGTTTTATACTCTTGATATATTAGCTGAAGAGAAAATTTTAGAATGGTATGAATCCAATGATGAAACTAATGATGTTCAAATCAAAAAAGTCAAAAACGCAGTACAATCTTTTATCAAGTGGTTACAAGAATCTGAAGATACTTCGGAAGAATCTTCTTCTTCTTCTTCTTCTTAAACCGATTAAACACATAATTGTACATATAAAAAAAAAGAAAACAACTTTTATTATTATTTCACATATTTTGTAACACGATAAGTTGTATTATAAACAAAATGTATATACATTCGTATAATAAATGCATAACAATTTATATTTATATAATATAATGATTTTAATATTCTGCTTGAAAATAGAAAAATAAAGAATAAAGAGGAACAAAAAGAAGAGAGGGAATAAGTTCGGTAAACTAACTATAATTATCTTTATTATACTTATTTTTAAAATACTTTTTAATTTGAGCAGCAATATGCAATATAGACGTTGGTTCCTTAGGCAATACCTATTAATGTGACTCAAACCTTTTATTGCCTCTTTAACGCATCAATGTTGAGATCGGTATTTTCAACTTTTCTACAGAATTTCATATGAATTGTGCCATTGAAAAATATTACTCTATTGGCATAAGAACTTCTGTTAAATTGTGCCAAGCGGGATGACGATAATCAGGAAATTTGATGACATCTATCCAATGTCGTAATCGTGCTCCTTTGCTATTGCATCCTAATGCAAGTCCTCCTAAACAAAATGCCATAAACCGAAATCATGTATCGATAATACGGAGAAAATTCGGATGGCCGTTGTGTTATTATTAAATGAACATTATTACCAAGATAATCATTACTCTTGCCGAAATCCTTGTCCCACATAGAGAGGCATAACGTGACTTTCATGAGGTCTGTTAATCGAATCCCAAAAACGAACTCTTCGTTCCACTCTGGGCTGAGAGTTTTCCATTTGACGCTCGTGCTGTACGAGCTGCGACCTGCGGCCAGTTTCTTGCTGGGATATTTCTTCGTGCTGGTACGTCCGGGAGGATCGTGACCTCGTTGTTGTCGATTCTCGATCACATTCTCTACAAGGCATAGCTTCACAAATGGGTCAGAAAACCCGTTGTTGTCCATGGGCAAAAGATTCATAGCTTGGTGAATAATAACCAGTAGAGCACGTCGACGGGTACAGTAGCTCAGAGTTAGTTGTATTTGACCTCGGTTGCCTCGATGAAGATCCCAAGCCTCTTCTTCGTGACTCACCTAGAACAATGTTGGAATATGATGAAGTTATACATTAAATAACTAGCACTATCTAAATAAATAATATTTATTTATCTATGTTTCCAACAAATATACAAACAGACCGGATAATGGTTTTGGAGGGTGATTTTGTAGTGCTTCATCTGGAACGGTTCTAGTTCGTACAGGGGAAACCTCGCCTCCCCTAGAAAGTCTTCTCCCCAGGGGTCGTCTTGAAGTATCATGACATGTAAGGCTCTGCCACTCTTCATCTGTCGCGATCATTCAATCGTATTCTCATTTTGGCGAAAGGTCATTAAAATAAGAAAACTTTAATGATCACTGTAATAATCGTTACTCGTACATCGGCATCTCTCGAAACGTAGAAGTTCACCGTCTCGTTGAACACTGGATCTCGTGTCTTGTGAACAGTTTTCGTTCTTATTGGCTTGATATTTGTGCCCATTCCCATCGGCAGTATGGTGATTTTGCAAAATGGATCGGCGAGGTCGTGGATGTCCATAGGCTTTAATCCCAATGCTCGTTCCACTTTGCACTGGAGGCACTGAGCCACTGGGTCGTATAGCAAGGAGATTTCCAGAGTCCCAAAGCTTTCCTCCGTTTCTGACCTCTTCACTAAATGATCCGGACAAATATACATATTCTTATCATTTCATTTAGATACAAGTTTTTATGATAATTTTTATTAAGAGATGTAAGATTTATCAGATAAAGGGTAGTAATAATTGAAAACAATAAATTTGAGATACCGACTTTCGATGTAATTCGGCGTTTGCTTCCTTGGTGAGTCCGAGTGATGCACGTACCATGTGCTGATAGTTTGTTGATCGTTCGTCCGATTTAAGGAGGCATTCATCTCGCATTCGGCATTTCTTTCGTGCATCCAAGCCTCTTCCAGAATTCGTTCCATCAGAGTGCTCGGCGATATGGTCGACGGCGAATTCCGTCTACAAGAATGCGTCCAAGACGCCCAAGTCAAACCTCTACTTTGTCGAGCATCGTTACTACGTACCTGACTGATTGTACCTGAGAATCCTTACACCGATCGACAGAACCGCGAGAATCTTCGAGATAGTTAGCCTGTTCGTCACCCTTATTTTCTAATTTGATTTCCTCAATGGACGCATTATCATCAATGGAATTGTCTCCACCACGTTGATCGGCTCTTAAATCACACGTACTTTTTTCATTCGTACGAGACGCGTTACGCAAAGTTGCTGCTGACGTGGATGGCGATAGACGACTGCACTGCGAATAGATCGAAAATGTCGAAGACTTGTCCAACCTATCCATTGTTGTTGTCGAAGGGCTCTCATCTCGATGGCCTATAGGTGATGATCGATCATTCGATCGTGATACCATTTTGAAAGAGCCACTTGCCGTTTGAGTATCGTAAGGCGTGATCTGTTGCTGTTTGGAAAGACCATTGATATCTTGGATACCTTGCAAGCTCGGAGAAGAAGAGGAACAGCAGTTATTTGAACCGACTAAACGTCGAGCAGCCTCCTCTTCCGACGAGGAATCCTGAACTTCATTTGATTCCAAAGATTTGCAAGCACTGATGATTTTACAAGACGAATTCTGTGTCCTTTGACCCGCCCGAGACCAATCACGTTCCTACACATACAAACAATTGTTAATTAAACGGTGAACTTCTTTCACGTTTCATCTCTCTTTTTTTCTTTCTTTCTTTTTATCTATCTCGTGCGCACGTTCGATTATAAATAACAATTTAACGAATCTGATGTGATTGACCGAAACGTACTTTTTTCTTCGGAAGGTCATGCTTCGGCATTCCTTTAAAGAACCAAGCTCCACTCTTTTTCCAAATTTCTCTGCTCTCAATACAGATACGACAAAGAAATATCTTTTGTGGATTATTCGACGACCTCTGTACGATTCGTTGTATTGCAGTTCTTTTCGGTAAAGTTTCATTCGCTAACGTGTTACATGTAGTCGTAGATATTACTTCGGTATTAGAGGTAACAGCTAATACATTAGGTGTATTTGCCTCTTTACCACATTTTTGGCAAACGTATTTTCTACAATCTTTGCAAAACGTTGGGGTGGCCCCTAATACTGCACCGAATTTTTCGCCGCATAGAGCACAAGAGCAGACACAACGCGTACCACCGGAACATCGGTTACCACAATTTCTTCGTTCGTCCGATCGGCTGGAAGTGATTATGCGAACGTTGCGCTTCATGTCTTCCAATCTCTCAACCAATCTGCCGATGCGTTTCTGCTCCGATAAATCCAACGCCTCCGCTCTTTGAATCACCTGGGGGAGAAGAAAAAAAAATAAGAAAAAAAATGACGGACACTTTTTATTTTTTTATTATTTATTAGCGAAAGTTATTTAAAAAAGAGAAGATTGTGACAAAATAAAGCAAAATTATACGAAATAAAAATTGATATTTAATATTGGGGTTGACTCAAAAAGTTCGTGTTAATTTTTGTTATTAATAGGCACAAAATTGTTTATTAAATGAATATTTTTTATTTAATTATAGATTTAAGATTGCTTACTTGTATAATTGTACGTCGTTCTTCTTCCGTCAATACGAAAGATTGGTTGGCACGGTTGTTACCACCAACGTTTGAATAATTGTTCCATCCCGAGTCCAAGTATCCTGTCTTTACTGACCAACCTGTTCGTAATCTGGATGATAAAAAGGGAAAAATTAATTGGTGATAATAAATAATAAAAATATTATCAATCGAATGGATCGTTTTGGAAATAATTATTATAAAATCAACTCACTTAGCTCTTAATGCCAAGTGTCGATCGTTTGGACAAACCCAACGTGTTCCTATATTTTGTGGTTCCCCCATGGTCATATCCATAACTGCGCTAATACGTTTTACACGCTTTATATCCCAGCTCACAAACACCGTACATACGTCATGGGAAAGGTTTGTTCCATCGAACGATCGACGTACAAGATAAAAAGCACCGACGCGTCATGTTATCCTTCCTCTAAAAACAAGATACTTACAAATGACGATCCTTATTGTAATTTAAAAAAGATCAAAAACATCAGTAGATAATTTTGATCAGATAAACGTTAACTTTAGATCGACATTAAACACTCTAATTTATTTTTTTTAATTATTTTTTAAAGATTATCACATAAAAATTCGAATTAAATATAGAGTAAACTCTTTTTGTATGATCTATTAGAATTTTTGTAATTTTAAAATTGTATTGTATCAGGTAAATTATAATCGAATTTTTATAATTGAATTTGAAATTTTATACATTTTAACTGTATAAAAAAGCTTCACAGGAAATCAGATAATATCAAAAAGTGAAGAATATAGGAAGGAAAGGAAGAGAGGAAAACTCAATTTTGAATAAACTCGATTAGTTAATATCTTCACCGGGGGTAGATTGTTAATAAAGGAGAAATTAGATAGAAATAGATAACAAGTTTTTATATCTCCGTAATTCTATCGTTCGTGATATTATAGAGAAATGTGTATTGGTATATGTTAGAAACTTCCTATTAAAGTCTACGTCTACTAAAATCGATATGATGATTCCTATAAGAAGTATTTCCTTCATATTTATATATACTTATTACTGTGTATATATTTATTATTATTATTATTATTATTATTATTATTATTATTATTATTATTATTATTATTATTATTATTATATATTATATATTTATATATAATAATAATATATACATTATTATATTAATAATATATATTTTTATTTATTTTTGTAATTTAAAAATATTTATTATTTATTTATTTTTTATTTAATTAATAATTATATATTATTAGAAAACTTAGTGAACAAAGAAAAGAATCAAATTTTTTTAAAAATGATAAAAATATAAAAGAAAAAGTTATAAATAAATAATAAAAGTTATTCCATATATTTCTATTAAAAATAACAATTAACAGCTACTGTTTGGAAAATTATACGTATTTCATAGAATGAATTCAAATGAAAGAGCACATTTAGTTTTTTAAGAATTTTAATACTCGTTGCAAATAAAAGAAAAAGAAAAAATATATAATTTTTAAGCGGTCAACTTGTTAAGATAGAAATTTCTGCTGTTTGACATTACATACGAGTCTGTAAAAAGCAAATGCGAAAGTATTACGCTCGTTGAAGGACGATCAATCGAAAGCTCATGACGCTGACCGTCATTCTATGTATCCTACAGAGCTTGCACTTGAACGAAAGAGAGAAAGAGAAAGAATTAGAGAGAGTAAGAGAGAGAGAGAGAGAGATAAAAACGCGAGTATCGACTTTTCCTTGAAGAGTTGCTCGTATGCCCACGTCATAGCATGTTGCATGTGCAACAGTTGTGTTGCGGTTCTATAAGTCATTTTAAATATATAAAACTTATAAACGAAAAGAAAAAAGAAAAAAAAAACTTGACCAAGCTGAAAGTATTATCTTTCAAATATTAATAATAATACGGATATAGAGTTAGACTAACTGAAGTTAATTTTATCCTTTTATGAACATGACAGAGCTTAACAAATTTGAACATTTCTTCTTTTTTTTCTTATTTTTATAAACAATATCAACCTTAGATACCTTTCTTTTACGTTCTTCCTAAATAATAATAATAATAATAAATTTATTCTTTCTTTCTTTAGAATATGTTCGTAGATTAATTAATAGGATAGGTCATTCGTAATCGATTTTCAAAAATAATTTCTAAAGATATTTTTATAGATATTAGGAAAATTGTAAAACGTATGATCGAATGAGTTGAAAATAATTCTAAAATAAATATAAAAGTATTATTTTACAAATAATTGACAAAAGCGATATTAAAATAGACATAATCGATCGATATACGTGTAAAAAAAAGAATATTATATATTATATATCATTAAAAGTGAATGAAATTAATCGAAATAGCAAGCAGATGTGACGATATGTTAAAAAAAGAACTTTTCACATCCGTCCCTCTGATAAAACATTTCTTATCAAAGTACGTCTTTTTTTTATCGTTTTATTACCATATGACACTGAACTAGAATAAAATGCTCATTTGTTATTAGGTCATGCAAAGAAAAAACTTACAAACGTCGAAGAATTTTGAAAGCGTTGATTTTTTCGAGTCTTCTGGAAAACAGGCTTCTTCTTCTTCTTCTTCTTCTTCTTATTTTTCTTTTTCGTGGAAGATGATAAAGTAACAGTAATCTTTTCTCGTATTAACAGTTCGAAAAACTATCAAAAATAAAATAAATGAAAAAGAAAAGTTTTGCAATGTAAAAGAAATAAATAAAAAGAAAGATTTAATCGTAACCTTGAGCTAATTTGTAAAACAGCCAGCAGTAGGATCAACTCTGTTCCTCCGTACGGCTCATCATCGCACGCATCACTGCGGCATGAGGGCACTACGAGGGTGAAAATGTAGAAAGGAGAGAAGGGACAGAGTTATGGAGAAGGGTAAATGTGATGGGGAAGGGAAAAAGAGGGAGACCCTGGCCCCTCGCGCACTATCTATCACTCGGCCTCATTATTGCTCACCTCACAAGTAAATGTTCTCCTACTTTCTACAAACTATCTCATTTTTTGCTTTAGATTTGCAAGCTTTAGTATAAAACGTTATATGCACTATGGTTTTAATTCTACACCTACGAAGGCAGGTGGCATTGTGATACATCAATGTGTAACACATTCCCTTAAATGTTACATATTAACAATATTATAACTGTATACTTGTATACTCTATTTACATATTTTTTACTAGAATAAATGTTAAATAATTGATTAGCTTGGATTTGATATTAAAAAATAAAATAAAAGCAATAAGAAACAATCAAAGGGATAAAATACAGCAAAATACTCGGCAATGCAGTCGCGCAGGGATGAATGCGTATACAATACATCTTCGAATAATAAAAGTATGTCACGGTGTGATATACGTATATGGGTCAAGGTATATATAAGTACTTTACTAACAAAATCCCAGGCAGAAATGACTGCAGTATATTTTAAGTTTAGATAAAAAGAAAAGTAAATGTGATGGACACGGATAAGCTGGATAATATTTAACGAATCATGTTGATTTCATTGATCTTTTGTTTTATTTGTTATTTTTTAAATAACTTTTAACATTAACGATCGATAAATTTTAAATTGATTACAAATAAAATGTAGCGTTTTGATATTGTTTTAACAATCTACATATATAAATCACAATGTTCAGTCACAGTTTTCTCGTAAAATAATAATAAAATATTATCGTAACAAGAATCTGAATAAATTAATGTACATATATTTTTCTTTAAAAATACATTTTTAAATATATGTACAATAGTTTAATGAATGTTTGTCAATTCTATAGCATTAAAAATGTGTGCTTAATGAAAATATCTATGTAATATCTATTTTACAAAATATCTATCAACATAATGTAAAGTTTCAAATGCTACCTCCACCATTATAAGAATTATAATCATCCATTCTAAACGAATGTGATGTCGATCGCTCAAATGACTGGAAAGAATTGCGACAAGTTCCACGCAATGATTTAATTTTTCGTTCATCACCTGCCGAAATACACAAATTAATTTTATTTAAAGAAAATATTGAAGTATTTATTTATCATCTATATCTTACCCTTGTACGTTTTGCTATATTGAAGTATCCATATATTTGTTGATATAAATTTTCCAAATCATCTCGTTCCCAATAAAAATCAGGTGTGTCTAATAAATCTGAACTTAAATTAATTAAATGCCTTAATGCAAATAATTCGCCTTGTTTTCTAAGGACCTCGCGTTGTGACATTCGTAATTTTTGACCAGTCCGCAAATCTTCCGTCACAAATTCAACCGTATTTATATAATTGGATAACGATGCTTCCCAGATTCCAAGTTTTACAGATTGTGCCATTGCATTGGAAAACGTAAATTTTTCTAAATTTGTAGCGTCTTTTACAAGTATTATATTTCCATCCTTAATATGACATTTTTTTCTGCAAAATTATACAAATTATATGTTAACGTAATTTCTAGTTCACATTTATTATATATAATTCTTTCATAATCAATTTTAACATTTAATCGATTTACTTACCCGTTTTCTGTATACGTATAGGTCATAACTTCACTCTCTGCGTGAATTAATTCCGACGTATAACTACTTTCTTCAAAATTTTTTAAAAATTTTAATATGTTCCCACTTTCCAGATCAGGGATATTCCACATAACGACTGTACCTTCCCGGAAAAAATATAATTCTCTTGGTTCGTGTCCAACCTCATATTTTGCTGTTGCATAAATAACATCTGGTAAAGCTGCGAAAAAAATTGAAACAATAAATAATTGTCAATATATTTAAATATACTATTATTATACTATTTCTTCGTGCAAATCTTATATTTGCAATGTATTTTTATTAAGGGAATTTAATACAATGATGACACATACATATATCTATACATATTTTTTTATCATATAAAATATTCACATACACACATACATACCAGAAATTTTTTTTATAAATGCGTTATCAATATTTTATCATATTACACATATGATGATTATAAAATTCTATACACAAATTCTGACACATTTTATCAAAAATGTGCTAATAAAAATTATTTACCAATATTATTTGTAATCAATTTTTATAATAACGTAGAAAACATATATTACTTATATCCTATTATTAGTATAAAATGATAATCATCAAAAGTACATTAATCTACTAAAAAAGGACTGTCACATGCACCTAAACCAGCTGCTACTCCACCTTCATTGGCAGTAGCTAATTTAGTTCTTAACATATGACCAGCCTGTTTATTAACATATATATTTTTATAATCGGCAATAATAACACCAAAAATTCCCAATTCTGAAACTAATTCTTTTGGTTGTAAATAATTATCACTCTCTGGTCTAATCATATAATTTAATTGATTCGGTGGAATAATTTTATCCATAAGAATCCATGCTACACGTTCTTGTTTATCCTTAATATCTAACAAGAACTTTTTTATATCCGTTCCATACACGTTATTAGATCCACCTTCTCTTTGTGGTTTTAATACGAATTGTTCAGGATTTTGAATACCCATTTCTATAGCTTCATCTCCATGATTATCAAAATCAAGAGCATATAAGCCTAAGAAATAAAAAAGAAAAAGAGAGAAAAAATAATTGTAGGTATGCAATATATACCTGCATATGAAAGTAGTATAATTATACTAACCAGTGAATATTTTTTTAATATTTGTAACATTATTCTCATCTTTCAAAAATTTCGCAACATTTCCAGATTTAGCTAAAGCCTGTTGAACTTTTTTGGTTCCTGCTAAATGATATTGTATAGATGGACATTTAATTGCTAAAGATCTTTCTATTAATAATCTAACATCCCATTCTTTTTTTGTATGATATTGTCCAGGTTCATAACCACATCTATAATAAACTACTGCTACAATATAATCATCCACTATTAATTCCTTATTAGACCCTAATTTGGCAGTAGTAATCATTTCAGTTAGAGTACGTCGAATTACTTTAATATTAGGGTTTTGCTTTCTTATTTCAAATTCATGAAAACGTTGATCACATATATTGTAAGAAATGTCTTCAACAATAAATAAAATAATAGCTCTGAAAACAATATTATCCATTCTATAGAAAAATAATATATCTAATAAACAAAGTATAATATTATATTTTTATTTGATAATAGACGCACTGTGAATCTCCATATAATGTCCACGCTTTGATCATAGCTGAGCATAACTCTTGCAATACATTATTTTCAGGAAGATTATTTAACTGATCATTATATCCAAGTTCTTGTAATACAAATCTATGTAACTTAGTAGATGCTTGTCCCAACCATCCAAATCCAGAAGCTATTGTATTTATCTCTACTTGTTTCCAACAACAATAGGGTATATATTTTTTATATTCGTTTCCTTCTGAACAACTAGTATCTAACATTAAATCTGATCGAAGTAGACCCAGAGAAATTTTCTGTGTAATTCCTTCCTCATAGATGGTTTCATATATATTGAAAAGCATTCTAGTAAAATGATCAACTTTTATCGTTTCTTTTAAAGTATCTTTTAAAAAATTATAATCATGTGCTACTTCGTGTATAAGTAGATTTAATATTGGTTGAATATGACAGGCTTTTTCAAATTCTTGTCTAGGAAATGGCGATGGTAATAGAATAAATGGTGCAAATTGTAACATATTTCTATTAAAATTGATCTTTGATCTCATACACATTCCATGCATAAGCGCCCAATCAATTGCTTTCTCTACCAATTCATGTTGTTCTTTCTTTGATGAAGGTAACGAAAATGGAGCATCCATGCATGATATCTTATTATTGTCCATTTTTTAAATATATTGAGCGCTATAATTTTTCACCAAATTCTTACAAAACAGTAGTAATTGTTGTTATTATAAAAGCAATGTGTTAAAGCACTTTCATAACTTTACACTTTCTTTAATTTTGGTTTCTTTGATTTTTAATAAGAATATATTTTAATTTCTCTTTTTTTGTTTATATATTTTTCTTACAATTCAAATAACACACACATACAACACACACAACATCCGCACGCACGTGTCAAGCACATATAGATATATATGCAAGAATTCTTTTTTTTATTTTGTTTATTTTTGTAAAAATTGTTTAATTTAAAAATTATATTCATAAACCAATAATAAATGATTATAAAAATGAGATAAACAGAATGAATAAGGAATTATATTTGACGAGTAGAAACCACGTGATCGATTTATGACATAACTGTGAAAACAAGAAACAAATATATATATATTATATATATAATACAAGAAATATATATATATATATATATATATATATGTATATATTTATATTCCTGATTAATTTTTAGTAATTTTAGGTAAAAAGAGAGAGAATGATCAAAAAAAGGACACTTTTAAAACATATGTACGTACGTATATATATACGTATTTTCTACAATACACTTGCAAATTAAATATAGACACTTAAAGATAATTTATATGATAAATGTCATATGATTATCAAAATTTCTTATCTTTTTCGAGTACTTTTTAAAAATATTAATTTGTACATATATTAATAAAGTTAAATGCTCATTGGATAAGGTTAATCACGTGAATTCACTGCTTGTCCAATCAATAAGAGAATTACATCATTGATCTTAAATCTATGCATGAGGTTCTGGATCTATTAATAAATATTAGATTAATATTTTTTATGAATCATTATATTCCTCATTTTTCAACAATGTTTCTAATTCACATTTAACTCATTAATAAAGAAATTCAGAAAATATTTTTTAAATATAAGAAACATAAATTTGTATTTATCTTATATCTCTTAACATCTAAAGTTTAAATTTGTTTTTATGTAAAACTAATAGATTAAATATTAAATTAAATTTTATAATAGTATAATATTATATTTATTACTTACGGTTTGAAGATATATAAATCTTCTGAGGCACATACAGCTGTTGACTTAAGAGTCCTGCTTCTAAGCTTTCTAAATTATATTCCTCCGCTGTAGCCAATGCTTTTATGATCCAAACCTAATGGAAAAAAAATATATTTTGAATTAATGTTATAGAATCAAATTATTGAAACTATTAAAAAATAATTAACTTTACTTAATCACGCAATTTTCTTTATTAAAAATTTATTTTTAATTTTATTTAGAAGAAGACAATTTAACTTACTCCAGGTAATAAAGATGCTTCTTCTTCTACCACTTGTTTATTTTTCCTTATTGATCTTTTTTTTAATTGAAGCGTTGAAATATTTTCTTGAATTCCTGACTTATTATTTGCAATATTTTGAAAAAACTGAATGTTATTATGAAAAGATCTACAGGAAATAAATACATTCATATTTACAGAGTAATTTAGGGGTACAGTAATTCTTTTTTCAGTGAACATAAACACATTTTCAACTGTACGGTAAGTACTATAATTAAGACTTCGCCTACACGGCATTAATACTAATCGATTTAATATAGCACAACTCATTTTTTATTTTTTCTATTTATATTTTGTTATTTGTTAAAGAATGAAAATAATATTTATAAGAAAGTATTAAACTATCTAAATATTAATTTAACAAATGCACCTATGTTGTTTATGTACGTTATATGTATAATTTATTATTATCAAATAAATATTTACTATAAAATTGAATAGTATATAAAATTCAAACGTTAAAACAATCACACTAATAAGTAAAAACTCATTTATTTAAATTCACCGCTTCACATATTATAGAGGTTATATTCACAAAGAGGTTATATTCACGAGAATTCTAATGTCGACGAAATATAGTAGACTGGTGAAGTAAAAAAAAAGACCACTAGATGGCGTATCGGGGCCGCACTAGGCAGTGCTGCCAACGTCTGAAATAGATGTAGGGTTGGACAACTTGCAGTAGCGCTCCAACAAGAGATTTTTCTATAGTCGTCGTATGTTACACATACTCCTAAGATTACTTTCTTAAGATTTTGTATGTTTTTATATATAAATATATACTTCCAATCAAACATATTTTTATAGAAAACATACTTTTTAATGATATAATATCGATTTATAGATTTTTACTCGTTACCAAAAAAATACTGGAATATATTACGTATACGCACATATATTGTGATCATCTTATATGTCTAACTAATCAATCTACAAATTGCATGTTTATTATTGTTTACCACATTGATTTCATAACACAGGGTATTTATGTACGCCTAAACAATAAATCAAGAAAAATTTAACGTATTCCTAACACCCTTTTATTCATTTGCTTTCTTACATCTGTCGTTTAAATCATACGAATTAAGTGAAATATAATGAACTATTTAAAAATATTATTTTTTTAAAGCTGCTTCAACAGCTTGTGATAATTCTTGCAAATGTGATATATTTGAAACTGGTATATCGAGTTCAGTAATCTGAAACAATTCAATGGTATATAATTTTTTATATGAAAGATATTAATAAATCATAATAATTTATTATTAAATATACTCACAGTTGCACTATATGCATTGACATCAATTTGTAACTGAATACGAATTTTTTCATCATCAGTAATTCCTTGAGAATCTAACGGGAGTACACCTGTCGATTTATCACGTATTCTTTTCAATCTTCTTAAACTTTCTTCTGTTTTTTGAACAGATGTCAATACATCTGTTACCGATGTTAAATAACTAAAATCCGAATATATATATATATATTACAAAATAGTTATATTTATTATATATATTTAAATTAATATATTTCTTTATGTTAGTCTACTAACCGTTCAGTTAACAAAGACAGCGCTAATTGTAACCACGTGGTAACATTTTTTGGTACAAAGTCATTATAATTGTTACGAAAATTAGAAAGAAAACTCAATGCATTTTTAACATATGCGCAAGGTTTAGTAGGTACTTCTCTATTAGTACGTCTATACAATCTTGGAATGTCGCTTACTTGTTTCAAATATGTTACACAGTGTGTTATAAGTTCATTTACAATTTCTTCTGTTGTAAGTGGCAAAATCATGTTAATTGATTTAGACGTTTCAGTCAAGCAATCTGAAATAATATTTAAAATAATATCTAAATTCTTAAATTTTATAGTAGAATATATTGAATTGTAATCAATAAATTACCTTCTAATAATTTTGATGTAGTTGAATTTTGGTTTGGATTTTTTAATTGCACTATCCGTAAGAAATTTGGTAATCCATTAACAAATTTTTCTACGTCACAGTATAAATGTATTAAAAAATCCAATTTAGAATTATTATTGGTATTTGCTATACCTTTAGACTTTTTACTTTCTTGCAATTTCTTTATATATAAAACATTAATTAAAGTTTATTAATTACTGTTTCATATATATTTATTAATGAAGAAATAAAGTAAATATCATATATACTTGTTTAACTGCTGTACAAGCCCATGTTTGATATCTTGAACATACTTGCAAAGTCAATTTCCAAAATCTGTAAACAATTATTTAAAAAAAAAGAGGACTACCGATATGAATTTAATATTATATAGCATGCTTTTTGAAAATATTATTTACTCTTGAAAAAGTTGAGAAAGATATATATTTTCAGACCATATCCTATGCAAATTATTCCAAACTATGCACGTTGTATGAAGAGAGAATTCTTCTAACATTAAAGTATTGGCAGATCCTTTAATCAAATCAGATGAAATTGGCTCTTTAAAAGCCGTCTCGATTGTACCGGCTATTTCTTGAAATCGAATTTGAAAATAAACTGGTAAATTCCATTTTTTAAGAAAATTTTTATATTGTAAATGATCTTTCAAGATACTTCCACGTTCAGGCACGTCATAAAATTCTTCAAGTTTTTTACGAAAACACATTGTTTCTGTATATCTCTGCAAATATAAAATAACAGAAGTTATTAAAAGAATTTATATTTATATACAATCTTCGAGTTCGTTGTATTACTTACTTTATGAAACAACTCAGGATTTCCAGGTGCAAAAATATATTTCAACTCCTGATCTATTTTTTCTTCTATTTCAATCCAAAAACTATTTACTAAAAAATTAAAACCCTTTACTTTTATCCTAAAATATAATTGAAACAATATTTACATTCTATATAATTTAATTAATAATTATATATATGTATATATTAATTAATAATAATAATATATATATATATATATATTAATTATATAACTCAATTAATACAAAAAATATAAGATACCTATTGGAGTATAACGTGATGTCTAAAAGTTGTTTGAGTTCTCCGCTTAAAATATTTAACAATCTATGATAAATACTTTGAAGATTATTAGATTCAGTTTGTGAGTTTTCATCTTGAAGTATATTATTTATAATTGGACTAATGACATCTCTTCTTACCACTGATTCTGCAGTTGTAACATTATCAAGCATAATATAAATTCTCAAGCAACGAATTAATAAATTATTATCTTTCTCATGTATACAAGCTAAAAATAACTCATTCAGATGTATTATTAGAAGATCTTCTAATTTCTTGCTTTCCTATATAAAATTGTTCATATTAGTAGAATAATTTATATACAACTCTATTGTAAAAAGAAAAAAAATATATTTAAGCATACTTTTAAATGTTCTTTCATTTATGATTTAATATTCCGTTTGATTTAATACTGAATAATCTAATTTAAGAAATATTGTTCAAATATATTTGTAAAAATATAATACATACTGTTTGTTGATCTACAGAAATATCTGATTTGCATCTGGATATATGAAATTTTAAATGATTCAGTTCTGCAGTAGCTTGTTCTAAAACATCTATTTTCGTGAAACTTTCCATATAATTATCCACCGATAACATTGATGACAATTTCTTTAAACATTTGTAAACGCATTGCAAGCTGTGTAAACTCTGTTTCTGTAATTTTATTTGACAATCATCGGTCAGACTATCGGATAGAATTGTTATTTCGTCATCTAATGTTTGCTGAATTTGCTAATAAGAAAAGATAAAAATTAGAAACATAATGCATACATACACATATACACATAGTTAGTCTAAAAGAGTATTGTTTATTTTATAATACATAATATAATTAAAATTATATATCTTACTATGTCCGCAGTAATACCACATTAATGTAGCAAATAAATGTCTTTGACAAATGCCAGACAATAAAGTGTTGAAACATTTAATTTTTAATGCTTTCTTAAACTAAATTTGTGTAGATATATGTACAGATAAAATATTACAATGAGATAAAAAATGTATTACCATAACTTCTTCTCTAAGTTGGCTAAGTGGTATTTCCAAGCCATTAATTGCTTTGTCAAGACCGATGAGATTACTTGAAAGATTAACAAAATCCGTGTAATCTCTGTTAATTAAATCAATCATTGCAGATCTTAATAATTTCAAATACATTCCTAAATCATCTCTCATAGTTTCAAGTTTCACAACTTTTCTATGGTCTTGAAGGAAAGTATCCACATTGAAATTACTCTATAATAAATAATACTTGACATTAATAATAAAAAACAACTTTTGACACAAACAATTCTATATTTATTATAATATTTGTATACACAATTTGAATTTGATTAAATTTTTGTTCAATTATTTTGACATTTCAAATAGATTACAAAATCATACTAAACCTGAATAAATTCATGCTCCAAAAAACATAAATCCTTGGGGGCTACTGGTAAACTCGGTTTATCATCAGACATGATTTACTCTCACAATTATGAATTTACAATTTTGCATAAATAATCTTATTAAATCCACTGAGCTGTCATTGACATAACCTCAAATTAAAACTGCAGACCGTTCAACTTTTCAATCTTTATGAAATAACTTTAGATTATGCTTATTATAATCAATTATAATTAACATTAATTTTTTATATGTGTATAAATTATTACTCTAATATTAATTTCATCTAATTATCCTTAATAAATATTAACATTTCAATAATCTTAATAGAAGACAGTGTTCGTTGATTGGACACTGATCAGATGATGTCACACATTATCACCAGTTTTCAAAGCACATACGAATAATTCATAGAATTTGGTCAAATTCAATAGAATTTATGTAACTACATAATATTTAAAGATACGTCAGATAAAACAATATGATTTGTCTATATTCTCAAGAATTTATTGTGATTGGCGTAGTAAACATTTTCTACTAAATTGTCCAATTATATAAAATACATTATGTATGCGATGTATATATAAGTATATATTTACGTACATATACATATGCATTGCTAAAGTTGCACTTAATATTTAGTAAGTTATAATAATTAACAAAAATTAACTAATAAATATTATTTTTTTTTTCGTATCAATTTATGTTTTAGTTTGATAATGTAAATACATGTTTTTACAGTGAACAAAATTTTATATAATATATATAAATGCGCTATCGATAATACAGAGCTAACAGAAATAACTTAATTTTAATGGCAACTCAAATTGTTAGGTTAAGGTTAAAGGACCTATAAGTTTGGCGGGAGATGCTGAATAAAATTCATTACGTTAAAAACGCTAGTGGTTTGCAGTTTTAAAAAAAACATTTCAATGAAGATTGTTTATTTAGTAAAATGAAAAAATGGATTCTATATATTACTTGCTGTGTAATTTTATATCGATCTTCATTACAATTCTTTTAATATTTGTCACGTGTATTGTTGTCTTCCTAAGACTAAAGTAAGAACTTATAGTTTATATAAATATTGTGAATATATTTTTAATTACAAGTATTTATAATTATTATTATATTACTCTTTTTTGTTTAGATTAAGATGGCCTAAAAAAGTAAATTGCTGGTTTTGTCATAATAACACAAAAGTGAGACGAGAACAGATCAATTGGTGGTTATGTCCATCCTGTGAACAGTACAATGGATTTTCCAAGGTAATCTTCCAATTATATTAAAAATACAGAGAGTCCTCTAACTGGTGATACAAGCGAACAGGGGTGATTCTACATGGAAAACTAACGAAAATATAGAATAAAATGTTATCATATAAGGCTTTGTTTTGGAGAAAAATAAGTTTGAAAATTTGTTTAGTACGTGTGCACTTGACTGAATTTATAATCCTGGGAATTAAAAGTTTTGTTTAATAAGCATAAGAGAAAAACTGATACAAGAAATTTCATCATATTAACAATGTCTGTAAAAATATGTATTAAGAAGCACAAAAATGCTATCCGAAATATCTGAGAGTAAGATAGTAAAATTCAACGAGCTGAAATTGAATCTGTATAATGAATCTAATAATTTTCATAAATTTTCTTATAAATTTTTTCTTGTAATTTATTTTTAGGATGGAAATTATATGTATGATATACCAGAGCAATATAAAGTTTCTACCAATAACTCTACAAAATATTGTAGTAGTAAACCTGAAACAGTACCGTTCTCAAAGAATACATTTTGTAAGAAATGCAATAAAAATCAGAAAGTTAAATTAATAGAACTTTCAAATTTTGAGCCAACCAATGAAAAAAAATATGATGAAGAAATTAAACAATTTAAAAATTCTTTAGAATTAAAATATCCACTTTGTACAAATTGTAATGGCATAGTACAAAATGTATTGGCTAAACAGAAAATGTGGCTTGATCATTATAAAATGATGTTTTTTAAACGTAAACCTTTACATAAATTTATTACTGTAAGTAATGTCATTTCTTTTAATAATCATCTAAGTTCATATATGTGAATTTTGGAGTTGCAAAATCTTAATATAGTAGTCTTTGTTTATTCGATTGCAGAATGCAAAACAATTCGAAGGATTTTTCAGAGTAATTTCAACTATTTTTGATTCAGTTATTGTATATAATAATGAATTTTTATTGTTACCTATCGGAGGATTAATTTTTCAATTATGTGCGTGCTGGGCTGGAGCAGCAAAGAGAAGAAATTCTGATATTTTATTGTCGATTTTATGGATTTGTATAATTATACTTACATCTTTTAAAGAATATAAATTACTCAAAACAGATCTTCACAACGATTGGTTTTCTCTCGAATATGTAACTCAATACCATGCGGTACGTATTACAAAATTAATATTTAAAAAAAAAGTTTATATATGATGACAACAGAAAATAATAGATAATATGTTATGTTCATTATATTCGCATATACACAAGTTTAATTTTACATGTTTTAGGTCATTTGCTTTGCATTAATAATAGGCTTTATGAATATTACACCCAAATCGAATATTAAAGTAAGGGAAGATCACTTTAAGAAAATAGAAACAAATGTAAAAAATTCTGAAGCACAAATATTTCCTGAAATCGAAATAACAAATAGTACACAGAAGCTTGTTAAACAAGTAGATACAGATTTAAATGAAACTGCCAATTCTTCAGTGAACATGACCAAATATTTAATGACTCCTGTTTCTGTTGATATTCCTGATCCTATTGGTACAACACTATCAACGTATGTATTTTTTAGTTCAAACCTAAATTTAATTCAACTTTATTATAAATATTGAAAAATATTAATTTATATTAAATTTTGTTGTTGTTTAACAGAACTGGTCCAGAATTATCTAAATTATCTAAATTATCGACATTAACGAACAATTTAGATATTCGTTCTACTTTACAATTCAAAAATAATCAATTAGATAATTCTGAATTAGACGATAGCATGAGTACACTCAGTATATTTTCATCAGATGATAATATACAGAAATGCCAAAAAAGAACACCTAAGATATTTGAAAAGAAAATCTATAGTACAGTTAGTCCTGATCTATTTAAAAAATCAAATAATATATTGAGCAAAAGGAATATTTTATCACCGCCTAAATTAAGATCAGTAACACAAACATCGTGGGTTGCTGGTGGATATTGGCAAGAAGGCATGGATACCCCATCATTATCAAGATCATCCAGTCAAAGTTCTGGTTTTGGTTCAGTCGGTTCTAACTGTGCTCCTTCTAGAGAACCCTCCATTCACGAATTGGATCAATGTTCTATTATTTCGGACGCATCATTGTCATATTATGGTCAAAAGCAAAACACTGTAAAATCAGTTAAACGTTTTTGTCAACCTATACAATCGTATTCTTTTATAAAACCGAAAAATCCAACGTGCCATCAAACATTGAAATTCTCGCAAAATCATTTGTTACCTCAGCAAATCTTAACGCCACATTTTACAAAGAACAATGCTAATTATGATGAGTGTTGTTTGCAACAGTCAAAAATCTGCACAGATGATATGGAAAATTTAATGAACACACAACAAATAATTCATCAACCTTATAAAACAGTATCAAATAATACTTTTTGGTTACATGCGTTGTTGTGTGGCTCGCTTTTATTAAATATTCTGGCAGTTTGTACAACTTTGTTGCGTTAAGAAAATATCGTTAGTATCATTAGTAAGAGATCGATTTTTATTTTTTGTCAATAATTTTTTTTTCCACTATTTACCGTTACCACAGAACGTAATTTATCTATTCGCTATCAATAGATAGCGTAGCATATACTGCCAATATATCATAACATATTAATAAAAGCCTGATAATTATCTAAATAAGCATTTAAGAAATGTCTTCGTACAAAGTAAAACTTTGTACATGTAATTAGAGTATTGTTTTTATACATCATATGATATTTACGTATTTGATATACAAATAATTTTGATGCATCTGTAAATCATGAAATTTGTGATATGATGAAAGGAAGAAAAAAAGAATATAATGTGTTCAATCAAGATATTATAATTAAAAAAAATTATTATATTTACTTTTTACTACTCTATAAGGATTTCCTACTTTTTTTATTCTTATCGATATTGACTTATGTTTTGTGTGTTTACATAATGCTTACAAAAAAAAAAATTTATTTTGTGCAGTTACACAAGTTCATTGTTAATAATAATTAATATATTATTTGTTTTTTCTCTTCTGATAAAAAAAAAACTAATTTATTTTTCAATGATACGTTTTATGTATAAATAAAATATACTAATATTTATAATACTATATTATGTCCAGCACTTGCATAAATTGCCAAAGATTATATTTTCTTTTACTCGATTTCATAATATCTTTTTTATAAATTTCATATATAGTAGTTTACAGATTTAAAAGTTAATTTCCAAGCATTATAATATCTTCTTTACTGTATTAAATTTTAATAATTTAATCGGAAATGTAAGTTATAATATTATATCTTAATGTTAAATAAAATTTTATATTCAAATAAAAATAAGAGAAATTTGTTACGAGTTGAGAAATAAGTATCGTAAACAAATATACCATGAAACACATAATTAAGATCTTGACCTTCCATACTGTATATACTTTTGTGTAAATAGAGATAAAAAAAAAGAAGAAAATGGTGACTTGATGTACGTTGATAATAACGATACGATTAGGAATAAACTTAAGAATAAGTTAAATTAGCTTGTAAATAGAATATTATTATCAAATTTTTGTAACTCTAAGAGAAAAGAAAAAAAAAATATTACTACTATTATATATACATAACAAATTGTACAAATTTAAGGAGGAAATGTTAACTATTTATTTAACTTTTTGTATCAAACAAATTAATATAATCATATTAATGAGTTTTCTATAATAATAAATACGTTTTATAACCCGAAGTTATATTATCTTTAAAAAGAACAGAAGAAGGAAAATATTTGAGAAAATGTGCCACTTTTAATTTACAATTTTGCTATTTTAGTTAGAAAAGGCAACCGGACAACCGTTCGAATATTCATTGATATGGTTTAAGCTGCTTAAATATGATATGTTTGTGTTCAATCGTTGTTTATGAAACCTTTAGAAAGATAAATAATAATAAATATGTAAATACATACATAAATATTGTTTGTTAGGCACAATACTGAAAGTTCATTTTATAATCTCAAAGAAACAGACTAACTTCTTATTTATAAGAGAAACATCCTGAAATTTGTACTCATCTTGATACGTAGTTCTCCATCTGCAAAACTTTATTGCATCGTCTGAAATACTGTCCCACCAAACTTGTAATGCATCTTTAATACCAGTTTTTGTTAAATTCCCAAAATCTTTAGTTAAATCTTGTTCCGGTAACCATTTATTTTTCCTTCAACGTAGTTTTATTACTTAATAACTATGTTTCTTAAACAAACGCGTTGTATAACAAATTAACAAATTTCGAATGAATATACCGTGAGATGATTAATACTTAATATCGAATATTAACATAAATTACCTTAGATTATAAATTCTATAAGATTTTTGTAACTGCTTAGGTAGAATTCTGTAGCTTAAATCATATGTTGTGGTCATATTGTTACAATAGGATTTTTCATGACAATCCATTAATGTACTTGACAAACCCTGTTTGAGTAAAATATAAAAAATAGTATTAAAGTATTCAAGGACATCATTATAAATACTTTATATGCATATACAAAAATAACAAGATATTTAAACAAAAAAGCTTTCAATCAAAACATTTATTAACAACATATTTATAATATATGATTTACTTCATTTTCTATTTTATTATTCCAAAATTCTATTCGATCTTTTTTGTATATGTTGGTATCGTAAGGTTTATAATGTTGCTTGTATATTGTTATCCAATCATTAGAGAAAGGTATGTAAGGTGTACGACGCTCCAGCCAATTTCCAATTAAAACTTTTGAATCGTACCTTTTACTCACTGCAGGTATACTATCTAATTTGTCTTCTTGTTTATTATTTAACTTTGTATGTAGATCAATCAATGATAAATTTATTGAATGTTTCAAGTGACCACTAAACACAGGCATCTTAATTAAATTCAATACTAATTATATTTCTTATATTATTTATAAATATTAATATCGTTAATAATATAAATTATGATATAACAACGTAAACAAAAATATACATTGTATAAAAAAGTTTTTCCTGTATAGTCAAACTATATCAGAAGACGGATGTAATGGTAAACAAAACTTATTTTGACGTAACTTACTGCTTGGAGCTTCTAAAACTCACTCAAATTGGGTTAACTCAAAATTGAACAAGAAATTGAACAAGAAATTTGATTAAGAATCAGAATGAGAATAATAACTACCCTGTCTGATTGGATCACTTTTCTACATGGTCAATTTCATAAACTGAAACAAATCTGTTTTCATTGGATGTCGATAGTTTATTACGTGACGACGTAACAATATATAATATAAAGGTGTATGTAACATATTATACATTATATTATACTTATCCGATGTGGCCTTCATTGTTTTTCTTTTTTCAAATGTTTACACACAAATGTATTACATTTGCACAAACTATTAATATATTCTGTACAAAAAATACCCCTATAATCGTTAAATAAAATATAAAATACTCTTTTAATCATTTTCAACGATTTCTCACATGAAATTTAATACAACTTTTTGTTCCACTTTATTTTCTATTATAAAAACAGCAAACTCCTGTTGAGTACGACTAACATAAACATCAGCTGTAAACAAGATCTCAACCATATGATGCGTCTAGTAATTAGGTACAGCGATGCCAACTTAAAGAAAACAAAATTGCCGATACTTTTTAAGCGGGACTTTTAAATGAAAAATTCTAGATACTTTTTGTACAGAATGTATGTATATATTATTTAATTTTCATATTTACTAATTATTAAAATGATGAAACATAATTCCATTACTAATCTGTTTATTTTCTTTCATATTCGCGTTACTCCGTTTACAAAGATAGCAGCTATAGATTGATCTCTCCTTTAACAGTAATTGGCTATATTTACTTATTATTGAATATATTGTTTTACGGAAATTTAATAACTTTAGACACCGAATATATTAATTACTAAGTCGTCCTAAAAGTTTTTGTCTTTTTCTTTTTTACTAAGTTTTACGCGTGCAATATATATATATATATTTTTTCTTTTTTAATGTTACGCGTGTAAAACTTATTGAAACTTTTGGGATGATTTAATAGACTATGAAAAAAAAAAAATTATGTATTAACTGTATCGACAATTTTATTATCTATTACAAATTTTTTAATCGACTTATTAAACTTCCACTTGATAATCCTTTAGAACATATAATAATCCTTCGTTTAATTTAATTTAATTAAATACTTCTACATTAATTTATTTAAATAATTAATAAAAATATGAAATATATTTTAAATATTTAAGAATAAAAATAACTAAAGCGTTATAGAATAATTTGACTCGCAACAAAAAATGGTAAAGGATATAGCAATTATTTCCATTATTATTTCTTATAGAACGAAAATACTTTTACATGCGTATACAATATTACATAACATTTAATTTGTAATAAATAACAATATATGAATACAGTTATATGAACACTTATTACCAGACTGTTTATTCGGTAAATTGAAATTCATTTGTAATGATTAAATATCCTAATAAATTATAAATCGATATTGTATTTTAATTTCGTTTAAAAACATAACATTGACAAATATATTATAATAATAACGTATAGTAATGTGAGCAGTCGTACAATTTTTTCTTAGCCCGAAAAGTACGTATTTTGGCAACGTTTAAATAAAATATGAAAAATTCACTTTCAGAGAGAGTCATCTCTTTAATGGAAATTATTTAATAATTCAAAGTGCTATATCCTTTACATCTTGTAACATACATCCATTGTATATTGAATGTAGTGACACAAAGCTTATGATTATTAGTTATTAATTAATTGTAGTCTGTGTACATTCTGCAACGATCCTTTGTTTTTGTATGGAAATGCTAATGAGCATTGATGCTTATTCATTTGATGTTCTATAAAAATAAATGTTACGGTTGTTAATGCTGAGATTTTACATCACAATTCATCAGTCAAAGAAAAATACATGAATCATGATACAAAACTCAGCGATGAATATTTTTTTTTTTTTTTCATATTTTTCTCTTTTCTATAATAACGAGGGGGAAACTTAATAGCATTTTTGTCGTGGATTTTAAATAAATGAGATTAATGCATTCAGCATTTATGATGGATTAATGCGTGTATATATATATATATATATGTTTGGTTTTTGAGTTATTTGTGAGCATAGTGTACCATATATACTAATATTATAATGTAGATTTAAATTAATATAAAGACATTCAAGTGCATTTACATTTTTTATATACATTTGACCTTCTTTGACAAGAACATAAAAAATAAAAATAAAAGTTACGCTCACTCTATGCTCCAAATTCGTCTTTGCTATATTGGACGAATTTAATTTTCTTATTCGTGTTACAAAAATGAAAGATAATGTGAGGAAAATTAACAGATTATCGCATAAAAGATATTTAAAATATATAATAAAACATTGATCAATATGGAACAATAGTTGACGGATAATTGCGATGAGAATAATTTTTATTACATTCGACGGAAAATGAGAGAGAGAGAAGAAAAGGAATAACAAAAAAAATGTATTTCCAATTAAAGGATATGTAACATTTGCAAACTATATTTAGTTACACGTGGCTTCGTTATTCATGTGTATGTGTGTATATATATACATATATGGAATATATATATATAATATATTCCAATTATAAAAAATATTATTCAAATAGTCTATTTCTAACTTAAAACAATAATTTTTAAGTGGGATGTGATTATAATTTTGACACTTTGCAGCAGCAGCTGCAATAAGTTTTAGGAACATAAATAGATCATGTTATATGTATAATATGAGAGTGTTACCTAAAATATGCATTTTTTTTAGGTAAACACTTAAAAATCTGCTTTTCGCATGAAGGACTATTTTTCAAGAATAATAATTATTATTTAATATGTACGTTTGCACAGAACGCAAAGCGTGATATATATTTTCACGACTTTGATTTTTCTGTAATAATATAAATTAGAATAAAAAATAAATTAATATAAATAATTCGATTAGAAAATTATTTCATAACTTTGACTATATAAAAAGTAATATAAGTTGTTAATTATTAAGCGAAGATGAATTTTTTTTTCTTTTCGTGTATTATTTTATTTTCTTTTTTTCTATAAACATCATTCCCTTTTGGACCTACAATTTTTTTGTAAGAAACCGAAACACTTAACTCACGTTAAGCGGGCACACAAAATAGGTCCAAATTTCTATCATATTCTTGACAGTGTAATATTCAGTAACTACAGAGGAAGTTATTTATAACTAAGAGTACTTATAAGCCATGATTATTCCTATCATTCTTTTCAAGGCCGCATATCCGATCGTATTTCTTAACTGAATTAGCAACATTTTAATTCCAAGTTTAATAGTACCATCCAAAACATTCAAGTTTGAATGTATTCATCATGAATTTAATGACATCTGATATGACAAATAAAGTTCATGGTAGACCGGATGTTGTAACGATTAAAATCGCTCAATATTATTGTTGTTGGTGTTGTTGTTATAATTATAATTATTATTATTATTATTATTATTTTTTATTATTATTATTCTATCTTAAATCTTTCGAAAAAAAATTATACTATGTGGTCATAAAAGGATGAAGCTAATCTTAGCAAGATTGTTTTATATAATTGAGAAAAAAGATATATAATATTTATGATAGTTTTCTTTTTTTTTTTTTTTATAAGTGCAATCGAGTTAAATATTTATACATGGATGGGACATGCAGCACATTGATAAATTGATGCACTCATATATTAGTATACTTCAAAGCACATGCTTGTTTCGAAAAAAAAAAAAAAATTAGCGGTGCTCTTTAAGATTATAATATATCTATTGCATTTAAAATATGACATTTATGTGAATACACCATAATAATAGATTAGTTTGTTTCGATCTCCTAGCACCTCAGCACGCAAAGCGTTCTTGCAATCGTTTTCTGCAAAAGTGAAGGATTTGACGTTATACTCAACATTACTATACGTTTTTAAACCACGTTCTCGAAAGAAAGACAACAAAAAAATTAACTTTAAGCATATGACAAAGATACACGAATGAATTTTTTCCCCGTTAAGTTAACATCACATGTCCGAACGATCACAGAATTGGGGAATATGTATTACATTTGGTTTTGCAAACAGAATAGTAGAGAGAAATATATAAAGAAATAATGTGTCGTTAGGTTTGTTCGTTTGTAACTTCGTTACATACAATATTATACTGACGAAATTATCAACTTTAACCCCTTAACGCGCATTTAAATAAAAAATTTCGTCAAGGAAAAGAAAACCAGTTCTTTATTCCCGATAATCTTATTTTAACGTAATTTAGGGATACAAGATGTTACAACAATGATTATAAATAAAGTTAAATTATATAATGACTTTATATATATAAATTTTATATAGTAGCTTTCATGAGATGATTTTTCATTGCTTGAATCTATTCAAGCATATGCATTACGATAACATAAAATATGATGCTGCTCGAGTTAACTTCTTCTATTATCACTCGTTCTTCGAATTTAAATTCGAATGTACGCGTTAAGAAGTTAATATCCCTGTCAATTTGTATAACACAGTTTATCGTTTTAAAATAGTAAAAATATATAATTACAAAATTGTTAAGCATAACAAATCCATTCACTTACTCTAAAATGTAGAGCAATCTGAAGTGACTCCTTTTGTACAAAATCGAACAAACCCACGACTTCTCAATCACAATGTAGTATCTTAATTAAGCGCATCTAAAAGAAACAAAAGAAAAGTAACAGATAAATTAAATTCATTCTACCGTTTTTTTATAACACAGTTCATATAAATAAATTAAAATTGCTTACCACGGTTGCCAGTTCTAATAGCATTAATGTTGCTTAAATGATGCTGACCAGCTCGAATAGGCTTTGCAATCTGTGCACTAGGTCCACGGCGAGCCAAATTTTTCTGTCTTACAGCTTCTTTAATCCTATCTACTTCGTACTGGTAACGCTTACGATCTCGCATTGCACCTTCTTTGGCATCTCGCAAAGCTACTTCCAAAGCTTTTACACGTTCAACAGTTGTCCTTAATTTCTTTTCAAGTTTAGGCAACTCACATCGAAGATCCGCATTATCTCTGACTAATTGTTTGTGGACCTAATTAACAAACGAAATATAACCGATGGAAACTTTGCTTAAAATAAAATGAATTGCGTTCTAACAACGCTATAAGCATAAATAATGTTAGCAGCATAGTTACTACATTAACCTTCGTAAGCTGATCTAGATTATTTTCTAAAAATGAAATCTTTTGTTTTTGAGCAAGTGAGCCACCATCGTCTTCATTATCTTCGACGTGAATTGATTTTTTTATCCTAGTTTGCAAATCCTGAACAAATAATTTACGTAAATTGTGAAGCGTTTGCAATTCCTTGCATACGGTATCCTCTAGTCCTTTGAGATCTTTCCTTGTCTAAAAGTTTTATAAATGATAAATTAATGTTAGAAAATAGATTTTATTATAAGAGTGATAATTTTAATTTATTAAATAAAACGATAAAGTACCTGTTCTCGGCGTTCATGAAGCTGTATCATCTCTTGAAGTTTAACAGATTTATTTGCTTCTTCCTGTTTCAATCGTTCGTAATCTGATTGCATTCGTTGATGTGCTAAAGTAAATTTTTGATTCATATCTTTCAATTCACTGATCAAGTCTTGTTTTTCGGATAATTCATCTCTAAGCGCAGCGACCTAAATATTAATTGTACATTAATGACACACGTTATATTTTTAATACTTTAATTTATAATTGTTCATTAGTATATGTTATAAAATTTTACCTGCTTCTGGTGTACGTCACGCAGTTGATCCATTTGTTCTTCCAAAGCTACCTTCATCTTTGTAGCTGCCTCTTTCTCTTCTGCCTTTTCTTTATTAGTGACAGCTTGCACTTGTTCTGCTGCCTTAAGTTTTGCACATTCTTCGCGTAATGCATCTACATCTTCTTCCAAAGCACGTTTTCGTGCTTCAGCTTCTTTCATAGATTCTGACAATGTTTGCATACGAGCTTCATGCTGAGTTATCAAAAGTCGACATTCTGCCAAATCTTTTTCGTATTCGGAAACCTAATATCCACGAATAAATATTTTTTAAGTATACATATATATAAACATAATATGCTTTAAACGATAGGATCACGTTAATTCAACTTACTTTTTTGTTACAATCCACTTGAGAACTTTCTAATCCTTGGCAACGTTGAACCAAATTTTTGACTTCTGATTTCATTTTACTAATAAAAAGTCTCGCAACTGTGAACTCTTCTTCCAGTTTTCCATTATTTTCTGGTGCAACCTAAATTGTAAATTAAGAAAATATCGTATGTAATACGATAAATTTATTTTTTAATTAATTCGAGATAAACTTACTTTAAGATTTTCGTCACCACCAATGGCTACTCCAATTTCTCCTAAATCTTTCAAAAAGTTAGCAAGCATGTCAGCAATACGTTTTCTTTGATGGGCGGACATATCACGCAATTGTTGCAATTCGGACGAAGTATTATTTAAAGCAGCTTGTTTAGCGAGAAGCTCTTCCGTCAATGTTTCTTGCTCTTTATTTTTCAATTCCACCTAAAAAAAGAAAAGTACAAATTAGTTATATTTTAAATTAATTATCATTCCATATATGCATCTCTTTATTCCCTCTTAATAACATAAATCAAATATTGCTATTTTAAAATACATTATTATTATAATCATTACCTCTTGTGATTTTTGATCATAATTAACTGCCAATTCTTCTAAAGCTTGTAAAACTTCTTTGACTTCCTCTTTAGCACTTTCATTTTCTTGCTGTATTCTATTCATTTCTTGTTGCAATTGTTCATAATCCCGTCTAGCGCTTGCAATCAGTTCTTCTTGCTCTTCCATTTGTTCTTTTAATTTCTCAACATATTGAGATTGTTGATTTATTTCTTCGTCCTTGTCATCCAACTGTTGGTACAGTCTTTCACGTTCTTCCTCTAGTTTTTGTCTTTCTTCGTTCGAAAGAGATCCTGCCATAAGTCCACCACCGGGTGTAGCTGGTAGAGGACCATCGTCAATTTTTCCTGATGAAACAAGTAGTAATATCATTTGTCAAATCATATTTATAGAAATAATAGAAAATATTTAAACTTTTTGGAAATTACCTTCAACAGATGCAATAATTGGTGTAATAACATCAGGTGTTCCTAAACTGACTTGTTCTTCGGGCTTAACGGTTTCACCTTGGCGCCAACGAGACAATTCTGCTTCTAATTTTTCAACTTTACCCTTAAGTCTAGCAGCTTTTTCTTTCTCGCGTTCATAACGACGTTTCCACTCTTCTGCAGTTAATTCTTCGTTAACACATACAACGTTCTTTATAGTCTTAGCACGTTTACCTATAACATGAGAAATATATTTCATTAAACGTATCTTTAAGCAGATACTACATTTTTATTTAATAAATATTAACGCTAGATTTTTATTTTCCATCAAATACATTACCGAAATCCAGAGTCGACTTGGTTTCTGACTCATTAAAACTAGCAGGTGAACAACAAATAATAATCGTAGTTCGAGCATTGCCACCAAGTGATTCTTGAAGAATTCTTGTCAATTTGGAATCACGATAAGGAATGTGCGTTTTGTTGCCATCGGCAAGCGCAGATATGACATTACCAAGTGCAGATAGAGACTTGTTAATATTTTTGGCTTCATCAAGAACAGTCCCTTCCGCTCCGGTTTTAGATACCTATAATTAATAAAAAAAAAACAAAATTGAATATTTATATTTTTGAAAAACAATGAGTATATTGTTTGGTTTTTACCTTTTCCGAACCAGCTAAATCAACGAGATACAATTTTCCAGATAGTTTTTTTTGATTCTCAAGATTTTCCTGTTTGACATTAATTAAGAAAACTGAATGAGAACGAGAACTGTGCTCGTTCATGTTAGTTACAGCAATGTGTCGATTAGATTTTCCTTCTTCGATTACTTCAAAAACTTCTTCTGGACTAGAAACAAATCTTTCAGTTGCTCCTTTTACAAATGGTACTCGATTTTTATCTTCGTGCACGCTTAAATTTACCTTAGAGACTGAAAAATAGAATAATATAAGATTTATACTTTGTCATCCTTAATAAAAATGAGACAAAATTGAATGTCATAATAGTAATTAGGTGGCAAGCAATATTAACCCCTTGCACTATGATTTAAAACACAGAGTTGTGTGTTATATTCAGTGCTATATTACGTGTTTCTTATGTTTAAATCATAAAGCGTACCACCAGTCTCACATCATGTTATAGTGTAAGGGAGTAAAGAAGTAGTACAAGTGTTTACCATCAAGAAGATCTCTAATCTTATCCATATAAATTTCAAAATAAGATACTTTAATATGGAATTCCAAATTTTCTTCCATAATATAAATATGATTGAAAATATCATTAACGATCCTTGGAATGATACCCTGTTTATTAGGATCTCCGATGACACCTTCCATTGTATGAGTTTTTCCTATAATTATAATTTACAAAATTTAAGTAAAATTCAAATAAAACATTTTTTATACATAGTATTATCTTTAATTACTAAAATAAATTATCTTACCTGAGGATGTTTGTCCATAAGCAAAAATGGTACCGTTATATCCTGCCAATACATCAGTGACAATGGATTTAGCTGCTTCATTGTATACTTTATCTTGGGTGGCATTTGGTTTAAATACTTTATCGAAAAGATATACTTTCCCCTAAAATAAAACAAATATTAACATAATATTAATAACTTCATGTTGTTATTTCATGCTTAGTACATCAACATAAATTTATCTTGGTTTTTATTTTACAGAAATTAATCAATAGTACTTGTTAGTACTTTATTCTCATGGTATATAGTAAACATTATTATTTATATGTAAAAATAGTAATAAAGAGAAGAAATAAATTCGGCATACAGATAGGAATTTAAATTAAAAAATTAATAAATAAATTGTAAACATTATTAACAGCATATAATGCAACTTCTTATACAATGCATTACTGTAAGTTTACAATTTCTTTTTCTCTTACAGAAATAATCAATCAATATTACTTACTAGTACTTTATTCTCATTGTAATGGTATTACTTATAATGTATAAATAATAAAATAGATTAGATAGAAATATGTGGGAAAACGCATATAAAAATTTACAATAAAACTATAAACATGTAATTGAATCTAAATTAAAAAATATATATATAATCGTCTTTCAAATTGCACAATATTGAAAAACGTACAAACATGACTAAACAGTAATCGTTTAAATACCCTTTTCAATAGTTAACAATTTTCAACGAATAAAACATGAAATACAAAGTAATCGGAAAACTCAAGAACAATTAAAAAACAGCTGTCTATAATAAAGTTGCGACACGGAAGATGAACGATTACTACATTTTCACAAAAGATATCATAAAGCAGAGAATTAGCGTGAGTCAGAGTAAAATCAGAGCATACCCCGATCGAGATACAATTCTCTTCACCGCCGGATGGGAATTTGACGATAAACTTCGATCCAGCTTTTTCCTCGGAGTCGTTCAAGGGTCGAAACCTGCATACTACCTTGATACTATCCTCCGCAGCAATCTCACGTTCTCTCGGCGTCGTCTCCATTGCCATTACCTTCGTTAACGTTCAATGCCCACCTTTTTTGATCTGACGAGGAAGCGGACACTCTCCGAATAAAAGTTTTTAATCTCGTTTTTAGGATATTTAGGACCGATGAATTATTTTCTACAAATAATAGATCTTCTCTCTACGTTAGTAGAGAGCATAAGCGACGCGATTGACGCGCGCACCGCATCAACACCGACCGTCTATCGAACGCTTCTTTTACCAAGCTGTCACTATGACGGACTATACCACAGCCACGGCCCGTTTCTATCTGTCTCTCTCTAACTTTCTTTCTTTCTCTCTCTCTCGCTCTCTCTCAGTCACACACACACACACTCTCTCTCTCTTTCTCTATCTTTCGGTCTTTCTCTATCTTTCTCTGTTCGTCTAAAGTAAGACAAGATGGCGGCTGCTCGGCCGATATAAAATAATTCTACACGCGACAGCGAGAATAGTAGAGTTTGATACCAGTTCGAAAAAAGTACTACGTATGCCTCGATGATTCAAACGGATGTATTTTCTACCAGGAACTACTTACATCCTTAGATTAATGCCGGAACATAATATTTGTTTCGCGCTAATTTCTTCACAAGACCTACCGGAATATAAGTATTTTCACCCACAACTACGATCGATCGGAGGGAGACATACCGTGACGAAAGTTTCAACGCTATCCCTCCAAGCGACCATGCGCAACTTCCTCCCTTCTTCTTCACCAACTCCTCTTCCTCCTACTTTAAACAGACACCTACGTAAGTATATATAAGTATTACATACTTACTAGGCTCTACACCGCATCTACAAAGAGACAAGTTTGCTTCTTTTTCGCTCTTTTTTCCTTCCTTCCTTCCTTTCTTTCTTTCTTTCTTTCTGTTCAGCATTCGTTGACGCTCCCATTGTTTCATGCCTTTCTTCATTTTCTAGATATTTATGAATATGTAAGATAAGTTACATTATTTCTAATATATTTTATTATTTGGCTAATGGATTTAAATTATTGACAACAGTATGCCCTGTTTATTTGATTTTCTCATTAATTAACAATATTGAATATTTTTTAACAGACAATGTTTTATTCATTACCATTGACATTTAGGACAATTCCAACAGGATATTTTTATTTATTTTTTTTGCTGTTGTTCAGGAATTCAATTCTAATTGTAAGTAGTTTCTTTTATTTCATATATACTTGTAAATATGAAGTTTAAACAATGAATTATAGAAGTCATGTATAGAATGGGGTATTCCTAGTTAATAGTTGATTGATCATACGTCATCCTATGTTTGAACGAAAATAATATCGGCTAACAGGGTACCTACAATTAGAATAGGAAAGATTAAAAAATAATGAAATCGTTAAATATAGATAAATGATTTTTCTGACATTCCTTAAATGTATACTTAAAATATTAAAAATAAGTACAAGTTATATGTAATCAATGTTTCGCGAAATCAATTTTTGGATACCTTTTTTTACTTTCATTCTTAATTCAAAATGTCTAATTTTGGATCAAATCATGTAGTCGCGAAGATTAAGGTTACTTCGAATGAAATTGCATCTTATTGGCATATTTTGGAAGAATTTTATTACCGAGTGTTTTAATTGGTCGCTACTAAAATTCCTTTTACGTCATTAGCTGTTATTAGTCGTTATATTGTCTCATGCATCTGTTTGTAAATGGCTATAAAGGTTTAATAGAGATAATCTGTTATTTTATTACATCAAATATTAATATCAAATATTAATATTTAATTAATCCAACTAACGTAAGGATTAATTAAAAACAAATTATGGGCCAGTTCAACTTGAATCAATGAGTAATTTTATCAGCAGTATGACCAATAGCATAACTTCGACTATATCATTTGCCAATGTAGCAGAATGATATTGTTAAAAGTTCTACTATTGGCTAAATAATTAAAGTTGTTTGTTATTGTTGTATTGTTTATAAAATTGATCATTGACACCAATTAATCGAAGTGTGTTTCTTGTATTATTATAAAATATGTATGTTAGCTTTAAATTTACAAATTTGTCTTAAAACTAATTTAAAAGTAGAATCTAATAACTAAATGATTGAATCGGTATCTATATATAGTAAATTTTTAATTTTTTAATAACACTGATTGGTATTCATGATTTCGGTTCCAAAATTGTGTTTGAAAATTATATCGAGTGCTTTCTATTTATTCATATAAGTTTTGACAAATACCATGATAAAACAGACATTCAGGTAATATTGAAAGATGTTTTATTGTTCTTGATATTTATAAAAATTAATATATTTTTATTGGTAGATTTTATTAAATAGTTATTTTTCGTTGTTAAATATTAAATTTCTATTACATTTATATTTCAATTTTGAACAATTATTCGCGTCATCTATCGTTTTATAGCAGAACTAATTAGCGATTTTTTAGTTCTCGATATTTCCGCTAGGTAATACAGTTTAATGGTTAGTAATATCGCAATATGTCAATAAATGTTGATAACATTATTTTGGTGCTTCTTATAATTAATAAGTAATATTTTTTATTATTTTTTATTATAATTTTATTTCATATCACCATTAATATTGTATACATTTTTATTGCAGTATAAATTTCTTTAGACATTTTAAAGAGTATATTGACTGTTGGAATTTTAACAATTCTATAAACATATACACACGTACACGCTCGCGTATATATACATATTTAAAAAAAAGTTTCTACTAAAAAAACTCAGAACTATTTAAAACTTTTCAATCCACCCTTGTAAAAGTGACTTTGACAACAGGAAATGCATTGAATAACTGCAATTTTGGATAAATTAAAAGTGTATGCTTCAAAATGTACTATAATGTATATAATTGTAAAAATAAAACGTTATACAAAAGTTATGCGAAATTGAAACAATATAAAATCAAGCAAATAATATTTATGTAAATATTAAATTTAACGTAAACTTATTTTTGTTATTTTTATCGTGTCATAAGAATGTAAATTTAATGAACTTACAAATAGGTAAGAGAAATAATAGTAAACAGTTTTATTACGGTTGTGCCAAAAAAAAAATATATATATAAACATTTTAAATTTATTTACTAACTTTTTTTCTTTGTAGAATAAATTAACGATATGCGTAAGAAATTTAGTCAATCGTAATGTGAATTATTGATCGGTGGATTGTATTGCGGATAAGGTGTGAATACCTCGAAGTAGGCCATGGTTCCTCGGATTATAAGGACACCAACGATCTTACGTAATAACGTAAAAGCGACAAATACCTGATCGGTAAAAATATTTCATTCTACGTCTATTCAGAAGATAGAAAAATAGAAGATGATTTCCCAATTGGGAAAAAATTACCTAGGTTAATGAAAGGATTCCCTTCGATCATAACTAAACAAGCCTATTCATTTCATCATGTTTGAAAAGGTAAATATGATCAGTCGTTTAGTCGTTGTCTGACTAATAATTAAATTTCTAGAAGAAAAGAAATTCTGAAAATGGAGAATTACAAATGAGTTGATTTAGATTCGTATAATTTGGGTCAGAAATTCCTAAGTTCAGAGACTTTTCTTCTGGATTCATTCTTACACTAAACAAAAACAACTAAGATGACAAAAACTACACTTTGTACAACAAAAACATTCTTTTTATTGGTAATTCTTTTTTTTTTTACGAATATTCTGGTCGTTTAAACAATAAAACATAAATTATTTTATCGATGTATTCTTAACGTAATATTTATGTGTATATATTTTATTTTATTGATGAAGTATAAATATAAAGAAAAAAAAAAAGGAAGAGAACATTCGTTTTTAAGAATCGAAACGTTGGTAGAAACGTGTAGTTTGGAAAAAAAGTGTTTCTCGCGATAAGCACGTAATGTCACGTCTTCAGGGCATCTTTGCGAAACGATTTGATTTTGCCGATGCTCATGGCGTTCGCGATTACTTTGTATAAATGACGATACATGGTTTTCTTGCGTAATCGGGTAACCAACTACTGTCCTTCTGAGATAATATATTTTCCATGCAGGTAAGGTAACTTTTCATTGTCTTCGGACGCATATTTTTGTTATTGTGGAGGTACCAAAATGGCGGCCAGCTGTACCAAGAAGTTAATACATGGTTAAAACTATTGAATTTAATAAAATATTCCTATCATAGACATTTTATATTTCGTTATTTCATTAAAAGTGCATTGAAAGTAATTGTAAAATATTATTTTGCACGATTATTATTTGTCTTCAACATTTTTCTGGTAATATTTAAACGCAGATAACTGTGCAATTATTTATTTATTGGTACAAATTCTTTCACTAATTTGCATGCCTTATAAATTATTATTGCATCAGTGATTAAGTGTCGTCTTATTAATATTGTTTATTTTTCTCAACATTCAATTTAGATTAGTTTAATTATTCAAACTATGCTTGAAATGAAACCATCTTTTGGTTTCGTAAATATTCTCGGTTTAATAAAAATGCTCGCGAATTAAGAATGCTTTATGAATCAATGATACGTTAATAATCTTAATCAAATTGGATTAAAAAATTTGATAAATATGCCTTTATAAAGTGGTTGTCGTTGGCGCTTATGCTACGTAATAACACATTGATACAAATGAAACAAATAAAGTAAAACCAAGAAGAAAATACATTAAGATAATACGTTCAAACATTTGGCAACGAACGAAGACAACTTGATTGATTTTTGACGTACTTTACATTCCTGTGCACACAATTCTTTTATAAACTCTCCGATCGTTCTTAACGACGATTCATTGGCACAATCAATAAGAAGGAAAAAAAAACACTTTTTATATTTTGTAATTACAGAAGGTAGCAAATATTGTCATAAAGATAAAATTAATATAATTTAATATTTTTTTCAACCGAATAAGTTGTTATTTGATTTAAATAAAAAAGATGTAATAATTCTTATCACAGGTTGTTGTTTTCAATGATATTATTTTCTAGGAATTTACAAGTTTTACGAGTACTTTATTTTATATTGAATGACAGTAATGAAAGAAATAAATATACGTTTTCTTATCTCGTCAGGTTAAGGACGAAAAATAACGAGTAGGAGAAGGAAAAGGAAACGGTGGAAGGGGGAGATGACATTCCCTCGTCTTAGCAATTTTGCCATCATTTTCGTTCACGTTGAATCGTTCAACACGTGGAATTATAATCGTTCGAAACAGTGATACATCAACATAACGACAAAATAACGTGACTCACGGTCATAATAATTCTTTCTTTGTTAAACTTCATTGCAAAGCATTGACGTTACAAACTTCAAAGTTAAATTTATAATGAATTATAATTTTTGTACCCCTATAGGACCTGATGGTTGATAATTAAACAAGTGTTTCCTACATAACAATAACCATGAAATAAACTCTCATCGGTAATATATCGATTCATTTTTGTCATCGTTTACAAAACCTCGAACGAAGGTCATCCTGTGTCTATCTTTCGTGGTTTCGTTTGCTCTCATCTCAAAAATATCTGTTTTTTTTTTATTCATATTCACACATACTTTGATAGAATCAACTTTGTATAATTATACGGAATTACGTATGGTAATTATGTACCAAGGACGTTTAAATATCGTCTAATTTTTATTATTTTTTTGACGTGCGCCAGATGG